GCTGGAAAAGGATTCCCAGACCTAGGAAACTGCACGTGCCAAGGCAGGGAGAGTGGACAGGACGTTGGCGTCAGGGCTCCCCGAAATGTGAATCACAAGCTGAGGCGCTCTAAGGCAGCAGTCTCTCAGGGCACCTGAAGCCACAGAGGGCCTAGGCTAAGCAGGAAAAAAAAAACCGATCTCCCACCCGACACACACCAGGAGCTAAGAGTAGGATCTGGATGGGGAAAAGAAGCAGGCTTCCGGTGGCCTGAATCCAGGGGAGTCCTGGGAGCCATGCAGAAGCCTGGGGAACCTCTGTGAGGTGGGGTAATTCAACCTGCTTTAGGTTGCTAGAGTTGTTGGGACATGCACGCAAGCTTCTGATGTGGAGTGTGCAGCAGACAGTGTTAGAACTTTTCTGGGCAACAAAATGCAGAGGTCTCTCCCTGCAGGCCCAAGTAACTGTGCCTTTGAGTTGGGATGTCTGGCCCCAAGCTGGCCTAACACATCATAGGTGGAAGGCATGGTACCCACCTAATCTCCCACCAGGCCTGATGCCCAGTGAGTAAACCCCTGGATGCCTGGGAAGGGAGTGAACAGCTGGCTTGGACCCCAGGGTCAAAAGCCTGTCTTTTTGAAGGACCTCGGGCCCAACAGGTGAGGCTGAAACCAGGCAGAAAGGAGGTAGGCTGAGCTAGGCACAGGGGAAACCAGGACCTCTGAAAGTCCTGTCTGGCTCCCAGGAGAGGGCAAGCTAGCAACTGAGCTTTCCAGACATGCGCTGGTGACAGGAGGGAGCACACCTACGTGGCTTTGGGTTCCTTTTCACCTGTAATTTGCAGCTACGATCAGGAGCCAGCAGTGGCTGTGTCCCTTCCTTACTTCTTGTTCCTGGCTCTTTCCTGGGGTCTGGACTAACCAAATGAGTCTCAGCACTCCTTCAGTGTAGATGTCAGGAAGAATCTCCAGGTGAAACGGAGATTCTGGCTTCGGGGTAGAATGTGCAGAGGTCAGTTGTAAACAGGGTAGTTACACCTTTGTCCTGAGCCTTCCAAAGTCCACATCTTGCAGAAGGCCCACCTATACCTGTGAGGGAGCACGGCTGCAGTGACTGCTTACCAGGTACGCTTGTCCTCCAGGTTGCAGCCTTAGAGTGATCTGGAGACCTCCTAGGGCCCTGTTTATCTTAGAAGTTATTAGGGTGGGGAGTGGAAGACCACACAAATAAGCTACCTGCTGCTTGCCTACGATGAGACCTTGCCCCACCACCCCCACCCCGGGTCTTTATCCTCTGTGGGGTGTGACCTCAGCAGTGCACAGCCAGCATGGGGGTTGGAGGAACTGAGCACGGGCAGAGCTGTGTGGTTTGGTTTTCCTCTTCCCCAACCCCATCAGTCCTGGGCTGGCTGCCCGCTCTTTTCCCCACAGAGCTGGGTTTCCCTGGGGACCAATGGCTTGGCCTAGCCCCATACCCACAGCCCCCTCCTGACCACAACTCACGCTAGAAGGAGGGCCAGACCCTCCTGGACCCTGGCCCTCCCTGCCCTGCCGTCCAAAACCCAATAGTCTCTCTCCATTGCTGAGCTAGGAGCAAGGAGCAATGACTCCCTCAAAAGGAGGTAGGTAGCTAGGGGTTGCTAGTCAGGGTAGTGGCCAAGGCTGGGGCAAGACCCTTGTCACTCCCATTGGAGGAAGGAGGACCCTGGTTCCTAGGGTTTGGCACAGACTTGGATGTCTTCCCTAGGGAAATGGAGAGTCCAAAGTCTCTCCTGGGGAAGAAAGGGAAGTCTGGGGCGGGCCAGAGTCTCTGCAGCTGCAGGGGACATGGAGAATGGCAGACAGACACTAGGGCACAGAGGGTCTCGGTTCCTATGCCTGGAAGCCTCAAAGGGAGACAGATGCTATCCAGAGTACATACAAGTTCTGAGCTCCCCATATAGAACTCTTACAGGACCCCCCCCCACACACACACACACCTCTCAAGATGCTGCCAATTCCACCCACTCCTTTGTCAGTGTCCACACCTGTACCAGTATTCCATCTCCCCTGCAGGTCCTGAAGCTGTCCAGCTGACATGGCAGCTCCAGCATCTCTGAAGACCAAAGGGGGTCCAGTCCTGCAGGGGACTTCATAGACCTTGGACAGCTGGACAGCCTGCCATCTGTGCTCCCGCTAGCCAGGCCAGATCTCAGGCCGTTCACCATGGGTGGCTGCTTCTCCAAGCCCAAGCCAGGTACCTCCCCCTCTCTGACAACCTCCCCCTCCCTCTCTGCACTCCACCAACCTCCAAAGTAGGTCAGGCTAGGCAGGAGCCCAGAATGTTAATGCACTGTAGGCAAGAGGGGTGAAGGCATAGGAAGGCTCCCCAGGGCTCTCCCATAGCAGCTCCTCTTTATTTGGGGCTTTGTGTGTTAGTGGTGGGGACAACAGCTGATCCCTCTTAGAAAGTTGGGTCTAGAAGGTAGAGAAAGGGCTACTTCTTCCACTGCAGGAGAGGAGAGGCTCCAGAGATGTTCTCAGGCTGCAGGGTGACCTCTTTGAGACTCAGTTTCCCTCTACAAAATGGACCTGGACACTGACCTCTTAGAGACTGTCAGGGTATGACAGGCAGGTCTCTTTACCTCTTCTCATCACTGTATGCTATCGGATGTCATCTCTGGGCCTTATCTCCTTTTTGTTTTTGTGTTTTTGAGACAGGGTCTCACTGTATAGACCAGGCTGGTCTGGTCTCAGACTCACAAAGATCCTACTGCCTGTGACTTGCAAGTGCTAGGATTACAGATGTCTACTATCATGCCCCTCTGTCCTCTCCATTTATATAGGAATTCTGGCCCTACCTAGCCCTAGAAGCTCCAGTCAGACGTAGGCTCATCCCAAAGCACGAGAGAACTTGGGATCTGCCCTGCCATCGAACTACTGTCTTTAGGTTTGTCCCCCAATCCACACATTCTTTCTTCCCTAGTCATATTAGCCAGGAAGCAGGACCTGTAGCCATGACAGGGTGCAGAAACCAAGGGCTTCAGCGTGCAGTGTTCCACCCACTCCTACCCAGCTTGCCCTGGCTGGCGCACTCTGCCAGCTTGCATAGCTCTCCTTACCTGATACCCATCAGCTCGGTTACCTTGGGACTCAGACAGCTTTTCTCAGAAGACTTGGGGGAGGGAACAGAGCTGTGACCCACTGGTGTGGTGGTGGGGACAACCCTTCCTTGCCTGAGTCTGGGCCAGGTCCCTCAGCCTCTGCCACAGGTACCCACTGTCTTTGTCTCTCTCTCCTTCTCAGAGTGGACAGGGATGTGCCAGCAAGATTCCACGTCAGTTGCATACTGGGTACCTGTGGGACTGCTTGGTTGGTAGGAGACCAAAGAAACCAGATATCATCTGCAATTTCTTTTAAATAACCCCACAGAGCTGCCTAAGCAGGGACCCCTGACTCTTGCACTTCAGATCTAGAGCTAGCCATTGTCCCCTGACCCGTCCCTTGTCTATTGTTTTGTTTTTGTGATTTTTTTTTAAAACAAGATTTCATATAGCCCAGGCTGGCCTCAAACTGATTATGGAGTTGAGGATGACCTTGAACTTGTGATCTTCTTACCTCCACCTCCTTCATTCTGGAATTACAGGAGTGAACCATTAACTATTCATTTTTATTTAGTACTAGGTACAGAACTCAGAGCTTTGGGAATGCTGGGCAAACACTCTACAAACTAACCTATAGCTGTAGTTCCTTTTTTATTTTTTAAACTTATTTTTATTACTTTAAATTGTGTATGTATGTATGTGTGTGCACATGGTGCAGGTGCATGGGTGTGCACACAGTGCAGGTGCATGGGTGTGCACACAGTGCAGGTGCATGGGTGTGCACACGGTGTAGGTGCATGGGTGTGCTGTCACAGTGCAGGTGCATGGGTGTGCACACGGTGCAGGTGCATGGGTGTGCCATGGTGCATGTGCATCGGTATGCACACGGTGCAGGTGCATGGGTGTGCACACGGTGCAGGTGCATGGGTGTGCTGTCACAGTGCAGGTGCATGGGTGTGCTGACGGTGCAGGTGCATGGGTGTGCACACAGTGCAGGTGCATGGGTGTGCACACAGTGCAGGTACATGCAGGTGTCAGAAGAGTCAGACCCCCTTGGAGGAGGGTTATAGGCTATTGTGAGTAACCTGATTTGGGTGCTGGATCTCAAACTGGAAGAACAGTATGTGCTCCAGCTTGGGGTTTGTTTTGTTGTATTTGTTTGTTTGCTTGCTTTTTTAAAAGATTGTTTATTATTTATTTATTTAGGATTTTCAGGACAGGGTTTCTCTGTGTAGCCCTGGCTATCCTGGAACTTGCTTTGTAGACCAGGCTGGCCTCAAACTCAGAGATCTGTCTCTGTCTCCTAAATGCTGGGATTAAAGGCATACACCATCATGCCAGGCTTCAGATTTATTTATTTTTATTTTATGTTTTATTGTTTTTTGAGGCAGGATTTCTCTGTGTATCCCTGGCTGTCCTAGAACTCACTCTGTAGACCAGACTGGCCTCAAACTCAGAGATCTGTCTGCTTCTGCCTTCTGACTACTAGGGTTAAAGTGCCACCACTGCCTGGCTATTTTTATTTTATGTGTGAGTGTTTTTTTGTTTTGTTTTGTTTTTCAAGACAGGGTTTCTCTGTATTGTTTTGCAGCCTGGAACTTGCCCGGTAGACCAGGCTGACCTCGAACTCATGGAGATCTGCCTGTCTCTGCCTCCCGAGTGCTGGGATTAAAGGCATGCACCACCACCAATGCCTGGCATGTGTGAGTGTTTTGCCTGTATGTAGTAAGTGCATAGCATGTGTGCGGTGCCTGTGGAGGCCAGAAGAGTGCATCCCATCTCCTGAAACTGGAATTACTTATGGTTAGTCGTAAGGCATGGTGTGGGTGCTGGAATCAAACCTGGGTCCTCTGCAAAAGCAGCAAACACTCTTGGCCTCTGAGCCATACTCACACCCCGCCCCCAGTTTCAAAAAGAAAAAAAGAAAAAAAGAGTTCTACTATGTAGCCCTAAATGACCAGGCCAGCTTTGGAAATTCTGTGGCCTCCCACAGGCAGGGATTACACAGGCCTTAGCCATCACACCCAGTTTATGTTTTTAAAACTTTGTGTTTTAAGGGAGGAGAGATTTATTTTGGCTTACAACTTGAGGAGACACATTGTGTCTTGGTAAAGGCCTGGCTGCGGGTTGCTTTGTGGTGGTGGGAACCTTCAGGAGCAGACTATATCTTTGTCTTTCCCTCTCTCCAGAACGTTACTGTGTTGCTCTGGCTGGTCTCTTCTTACTACTCAGAGGCAATGTTAAAACTTGGGCTTTTTAACCTCCTACCTGTGTGACCAGGGGCTGATTGCCCCTCTCTGGTCCTCCATGTCCTCATATAGAAAGCGGGAGTGGGGTGGCTGTGCCTGCCTCTGACCCTGGCATGCAAGAAGCACTTGCAGGGGTGACTTTTTTCTTCCTCTCTGAGGTGGATTCTGGGTTGCAGCAGCAGGCTCAGGCCCCGGCTCCAGGCAGGGGTGAGGCTCAGGAAGTTTCAGGATATGGGCATGAGGGTGGGACATGGGTTTCAGCTGAGGTCAGAGGAGCCTATGATGAGAGCAGGACAAGTAGAAAACCTCTGTGTAAATTCTGCCCTCTCTGCTGCTCTTCAAGGCTATATCTTCCTGTTGTCAACATTGGCCTCCTGAGTCCCATGTGTTGTGTTCTGGAAGGTCTTTGTTTTTGAGACGGGGCCTCTCAGTGTAGCTCTGGCTGGCCTGGAACTCACTCTGTAGACTATGCTGGCTTTGAATTCATGGAGATCTACCTGCCTTTGCCTCCCAAGAGCTGGGATTAAAGGTGCTCAGCGTCATGTCTGGCAGGCCTTTCTTCTTTCTAAGACTTTAAGCCAGTTGCTTACCTAAATCAGAACTGGTAGAAGATGGCCTGAGGCAATGGCTCAGTAAATAAGGGACCTACCACACAAGCATCAGGACCTGGGTTTGGATCTCCAGGACCCACAGGAAAACCAGGGGTGGTGGTATGCACCTGTAACCCTAGTATTGGGGGTGGGAGGAGACAGGCATGTAGCCAAGTAGCCAGTCACTGAGGTCTGTGTTCAGTGGGAGAGGCTGTGTCAAAAGGAGAGAGGAGGAGAAATGGAAAGCAGTAGAGAAAAACTCCTGCCACAAGCTGCTGAACTTCATGTTTACACACAGATAGGCATGTGTGCATCCCCCAATATTCCCTAAAACATACCCACATACATCTTGATCCCCCTCTACATGCTATTAAAAAATACAAATAAAAATAAGAACACAATTCTCTTGATCTGGCTATCTATCTGCCTTTTAGTAGGCTTTTGCTTTTTACCATGGTTGCCAGGAAGCTCAGAGCTAGTTGACACATCTCAATTACCAGGGCTCATATGGGTAGCTCAGTAGTAGAGTGACTGTTGAACATGTGAATGGCCCTGGGTTCAGTGCTTAGCACAAAAACCAAATCAAGCCAAATTAAAAAACAAAACAAAACAAAACAAAAAAACCTGAAAATACTACTTCACAGTTTCAAAACTGGAACTCTTGTTCTGCTTAGATACATGGTCAGCAAATAGGTAGATGCTCTTCGGTCCTCCCTACCCCATTTTTGAAGCATGGTAACCCAGGCTGACCTAGAGTTCACTATGGAGCTCCAAGCTCATGACAGTTCTCTACCTCAGGCTCCCAAGTGCTGCAATTACAAGTGTTACTATTCCTGACAGTTTGTCACTCCCCTGTGACGCTAGACACAGAGCTAAGTGTGGCTCCATCGATGGTTTCTACCATAGCCCGATCTCTCATTTTGTGACTCAAGTGTCTTGAGGCCCACGAGGCAATGACGGTGTCTGGGGGGCTGATGGGATCATGGGTTGACCCAGCTTTGTGGGTAAGCAGTGTCCTCCACCTAGCCTTCCTTCTGCTGCTTCTCCTGACTTTAACGACTCCCCAGGAAAACATCAGGGAGCATGCCTTGAAGCTTTCTGGAAGGAGGAGAGACTAACAGCTTGACTTGGAGGCTCTCTGTGCCCCTGCCCTGCTGTTCCTGTGGCTCCCACAGCTCTCACCACTGATGTCAGCTGAGCCTGACATATTTTTCTTCTTAATTCTTCCAAAAACATTCTAACACCATTACATAAAGTGTGTTAGTCCCCACCCCCACATGACGGCCTCCACAGTGTGGCTGTGTCCTCTCCACCATGCCCAGTCAAGGAGCTGCTGTTTGCCTTTGTCCCCTGCAATAGCTGGGCCTGAGTGGGAGGCTGGGTTGCCTAGCTGTGGAGGGAGACTTGGCCCAGCATGGAAGGATCAAGGACCCATGCAGGACCTACAGAGCCAGAGGATGCAAGGACTGGAATTGTACCTAAGTGTGAGCTAGCCACTGTTGGAGGGAGGGGGTCCAGGGCCACTGTTGGAGGGAGGGGGTCCAGGGCAGCAACAAGTGCAGATATGGGCCAGCAGGTGTGACTCAGGAGCCAGGCTGGTCCTTGTAGCCTTTGTTTCTGCAGAGTGAAGTCTAAGGTGAAGGAGTTCAGAGGTAAAAGCAGGAGAGAGGCTTTGATGTCTGGGGGGATGGGGAGAGGGGCCACCTGCTCCCACAATAGCCCATGCTGTGCCAGGGGCTTAGCTTCCTCCTCCTCAGCCTCCTCCCTAAGGTAGCAGCCCAGGAGACCGGATTATGGCTGCTCAAAATTCTGTTTATTGTTCCCTTCTAATTAAAAAAAAAAAATACCCCAGGCATGTCATGGGGATTTTGGGAAATGCATAAAAGTTCAAAGAAGAAAATGTCAGTCTACAGATACCTACTCCTGCTCTCCTGGAGTAGGCCCAGGACACTGTACAGGCTCTGTGTGGTAGCCATGGGCCTGCCTCTGTGCTGCCCAATTGCACCCTCAGTGGTTTCACTGTCAGGGCTCCAGACCCTGTACACAGAGACATCAACTAGTTGGGCTTTGGTAAATGTTGCATGACTCCCAAACTGACAGATACAGCTATATTAAGAAGTTGAAAGGCAGCTGGGTGTGGTGGCACACACCTTTGATCCCAGCACTTGGGAGGCAGAGGCAGGCAGATCTCTGTGAGTTCGAGGCCAGCCTGGTCTACAGATAGAGTTGCAGGACAGCCAGAGCTGTAACACAGAGAAACCCTGTCTTGAAAGCAAAACAAAAATTCCTGACCCTATTGTCTCTACCTTCTAGGTATGGGTATCACAGGTATACACTTCTATGTCTTGTTCTGGCTTTCAAAATATGAATTTATTGTTATTATTGCTATTGCTGCAGTTCTGAGGACAGAATCTTGAGCCTATGTTTCACATGCTCTGGGCCACTGCACAATAGACACCATTTTCCTTCTAGATTTATTTTTGCTGTTTTCTGTGGAGGAGTGTTTTGCCTACGTGTTCATCTGCATTGTATTTGTGCTTGGTGCCCAAGGAGGTGGTGAGCCTCCATGTGGGTGCTGGGAATTGAACTTGGTTCCTATGCAACAAGAAGTACTCTTAACCACTGAGCCAACTCTCCAGCCCTAGACAGTCATTTTTATTTTATTTTTAATTTTGAAAAGAAATAAACTTTTCAAGCTTGAGTAGGCAGAGCCTGCCTGTGATTGTACCACTTGGGAGTTGAAGTAGGAGGATTTACTATATAAGACCATCTAAAAAACAAAACCCCCAAACAATAAAACATATTCAAAGCTGATGGGAAAGTTCCAAGGACAGTGATTCTTGTCTCCCCCTTCTCGCTTTCTGACATAGGGTCTCACTTTGTTCTCTAGGCTGGTCTGGGACTTGTGAAAGTCCTGCTCAGCCTCTGGAGGGCTGTCAGGACAAGTGTGAGTGAGCCACTATGCCCAGGAACTCGGTTTCCTCTTGCCCAGATACACTAAATGTGAAGTGAGCTGCAAGTATGTCTCCAAGCAGGGACACCGTCTTTGTCCATCATTAGATAGATAGGTGGAGGTTTTTTCCTTCATACATTTCTAGAGAAAATGGCTCCAATATGTGTTCTGTGAATCCTTCTGTGACTGTCATTGGGAAAATAAAGGTTTCTGGGTTAACTATAGCCCAGTGGTAGAGTAATGGCCTGGCCTGAGGCAGGCCCTGGGTTCTTCAACAAGAAGAAAACATGCAAAAGTGAACTGAAGTCAGCTACCTCTTGCTGACCTCTACCTTGCCTGTAGAGTGAGAACAGAGCTGGTTCGGTCCTAACTGGCTCATGGCTGCTTTGTCCACAGTGGAACTCAAGATTGAAGTGGTGTTGCCTGAGAAAGAGCGGGGCAAGGAGGAGCTGTCAGCCAGCGGAAAGGGCAGCCCCCGGGCTTACCAAGGCAACGGCACAGCACGCCACTTCCATGCTGAAGAGCGTCTGCCCACCCCACAGCCCTACCCCAGCCCTCAGGACTGTGTGGAGGCTACTGTCTGCCATGTCAAGGACCTCGAGAATGGCCAGTGGGTGCTGGGCTTTGAGGGTGGTGGTAGGGCCTGAGGTGGAGGGTATGGGGAAACCACACATGGAGGGTTGGGCTGAGGAAGTGGTCTAAAATGGGCTGAGACTCCCTGGGAGCAGCCTTTGTGCTCCAGCTGCTCTGGGCTTCCCAAAGACTGGACGCTGGGAGGAGGTGCTTGCAGGAGGATGTGACTGGCTTCTGGCTTGACCTCTAACTGAACGCAGCCCCTCTCCCCAGGATGCGGGAAGTGGAGCTGGGCTGGGGAAAGGTGTTGCTGTTGAAGGACAATGGGGAATTCCATGCCCTGGGCCATAAATGTCCTCACTATGGAGCACCCCTGGTGAAAGGTGAGAAAGCGTGGGGTATACATGGGAGGTGGGATACAACCATCTATGCCAATATAGGGATTCCAGCAGGCCCCAGGGTCCTCATCTGTTTGTGGGGTCTCCTGGGTTGGGGAGAGGTCCAGCAGGATCCCAGTCCAGTAGGAGCCCTAGAGAGCAGTCTCTGGGCATGACTCTAGCCTGGTACCCATTTGCCTCTCCTAGGTGTACTGTCTCGGGGCCGTGTGCGCTGCCCCTGGCATGGGGCCTGCTTCAATATCAGTACTGGGGACTTAGAAGACTTCCCAGGCCTGGACAGTCTGCATAAGTTCCAGGTATGTTGGAAGTTTGTGGTGTGGAGACATGACTAAAGCATCTCAGAGTTTGATGCTGATGCTGTCTGCCTTCACAGGTGAAGATTGAGAAGGAGAAGGTGACTGTCCGGGCAAGCAAGCAGGTACCAGGGTGACTCACTAAGGCCCAGGTTTGAGTGGAAGGGTTTGGAGCAGGTTGGGAGGATATCTTGGCTAGAGAAGAGCATGTTCCAAAGCCCTGTGGTGGAAGGGAGCCTGGTGTGGGAGGGAATGAGGGATTGCAGGGTAAGATGAGGCTGGGCTGGAACCTCAGCAGCCAAGCTCCCAGCTGCCCTTCCCCCTCCCACCACTCCCAGGCCCTGCAGCTGCAGCGAAGGACAAAGGTGATGGCCAAGTGTATATCTCCAAGTGCTGGCCACAGCAGTAGCACCAATGTGCTCATAGTGGGTGCAGGTTGGTGTTGGGGATAATGAAGGAAAGGGGAAGCTTGGAGGGTGGGAGAGACTTTGGCCTTGGTCTATGGTCCTGTCCCTCAGGTGCTGCTGGCCTGGTGTGTGCCGAGACACTGAGGCAAGAGGGCTTCTCAGACCGGATCGTCCTTTGCACCCTGGATCGACATCTGCCCTATGACCGGGCCAAGCTCAGCAAGGTGGGAATGGGGGCAGTACATGGCTCCTTATTCCTCCAGGTCCCTATCACATCCACGAGGAGCCTTGCCTGCCACGAATTGAAGGTCTAGCTAACTGTTTTCTCCAGTCTCCCAGTCTTGTCTGTGGTGCTTCCAAAGAGATCTGGGTTTGTTGAGTTCTGTCCTGTAGCCCCCCCCCCCAGTGCAACCCAGAGTGGCCTCACCTTCCCTGGGTTCTGTGTCCTCTACAGTAAGATGTAACATAACTTTCATCTTAGCGCTTGGGAGGCAGAGACAGGTAGATCTCTGTGAGTTTGATTTTTGTAGCTAGTTCCAGGCCAGGCAGAGCTACAATACAAACTGAGACCCTGTCTCAAAAAAAAAAAAAAAAAAAAAAAAAAAAAAAGATAAAATGGAATAGTCACCATCTCACCGTCTGGATTTGACTCATGCATGACCCATGTTCCTCAGTCCCTGGATGCACAACCAGAACAGCTGGCCCTAAGGCCCAAGGAATTCTTCCGGGCCTATGGCATCGAGATGCTCACTGAAGCCCAGGTATGAGGGGAAGGGTGGAAACAGGCAAAGAAAAATCTTGGCTGGTTGGTGCATGCCTTTAATCCCAGGACTCAGGAGGCAGAGGCAGGTGGATCTCTGTGAGTTCGAGGCCAGCCTAGTCTACAGAGTGAATTTCAGGTTAGCAAGGGCTATACAGAGAAACCCTGTCTTGGAAAAGCAAACAAACAAAAAAGAAGAAAACAGCTTCAAGGGAACCAGAAATGACATGAGGACTTGTGTACCCCTGGGGTGTGAGGGTTGCTCAGCCCTGTGTTCTGACCTGGGACCCAGCACTAAGCCTTCTTCTTGGTGGGGTGGTAGGGGGATGGTCTGATCCCAGATTAGACAAGAGAGCATGGTGGGACTTGGAAGTACAAAGACTGCCCTGAGTTTGCTGCGTAGGAGCCTAACTTCTGGGTTCTGGGGGGTCTTGTGGAACTCAGAAGTGAGCAACAAGGCCCATGCCTGTGCCAAGGGCTCACTCTGCCTACTGGGGGTACAGGTGGTCACAGTGGACGTGAGGAACAAGAAGGTTGTGTTCAAGGATGGCTTCAAGCTGGAGTACAGCAAGCTGTTGCTGGCACCAGGAAGCAGGTAGGAGTATGTCTCCTGCCTTTACCAGACACTAGGCAGCTGGTCATCTGCCAGGATGGGAGACCCTCACTAATACCAGTGGATCTTAGCCCTAAGACCCTGAACTGCAAAGGCAAAGATGTGGAGAATGTGTTCACCATCCGCACACCCGAGGATGCCAATCACGTGCTGCGGCTGGCCCGTGGCCGCAATGCTGTTGTTGTGGGAGCAGGCTTCCTGGGTGAGTGGCTTCAAGGGATGTGTGTAGTGGCTAGCCACCATGGCCAGTCTCCAAAGTGTCCTGGCTCTAGGTGTCAGTGCCAGCCTTGCCACCTCTGCCCACCACCCAGGGATGGAGGTGGCTGCCTATCTAACTGAGAAGGCCCACTCAGTGTCTGTCGTGGAGCTGGAGGAAACACCCTTCCGGAGGTTCCTGGGGGAACGTGTCGGTCGTGCCCTTATGAAGGTGAGTCTGTTCCAGTGTCTGGCCTATGAAGACCCTGATGGACTAGCCTAGCCAGACAGTAGTCTCACCCACTGCCCATGTGCCTGCTTGCTTGTACAGATGTTTGAAAACAACCGTGTGAAGTTCTATATGCAGACAGAGGTGCTGGAGCTTCGGGCTCAGGAGGGCAAGGTGAGCTTCTCTCTGCTGCTGCTGCTGCTCTCTGTGTCTTTCCCTGTGCTCAGGAACTGTGCCCTTTTGCTCACCCACTCCCTCCCCCCAGCTGCAGGAGGTGGTACTGAAGAGCAGCAAGGTTCTTCGGGCAGATGTCTGTGTGGTTGGCATTGGTGAGTAGGTAGACAAGCAGGCGCTAGTGAACAGAACTGTCCATGCACACTCTCAAGTGACCTTGGATCCTTCCTTGAGCCTCAGTTTCCACATCTGTAAAATAGAACTCCAATGGTACCCACTTCACAAGATCATTGGCTTAGCCCAGGCCTCTCACAGAGCAGGTGACTGCTACCGACTGATACATAGGACACAGATGAGCCTCTGATTGGTTCCTATGCCAGCTGACATAGTAGTTTGGGGAGGAGCCATTCTGGAAGATGGCAGCACAGGGTTGGAGAAGCATGGCTTGTGGACCCCCATCAGGAGAGTTCTATAGCACACACTGGGACAGACAGCTCCTGGGGCTAAATGGAAATGCACCCAGCCTGTGGATGGGGGCACAGAGGGTAGGATTCATGAAGATCCCAGGTGGGTAGCATGTGGGTGTTTAATATGGGGCAAGCAGGTGCAGCAGGATGGAGAGCGATGAGGCAGGAGGAAGGTGGGACCAGAGTGAAGATACATGGCTTCTGTCCTGTTAGGTGCAGTGCCTGCCACAGGCTTCCTGAGGCAGAGTGGCATCGGTCTGGATTCCCGAGGTTTCATCCCAGTCAACAAGGTGGGGCTGGATGAAGTGGGCAGGATGCTGGGTGGAGCATGGCTGGGGGTCCATGTGAGCCCCCTATACCACCCCCAGAGCCCTGGTCCTCTCCCCACAGATGATGCAGACCAACATCCCAGGCGTGTTTGCCGCTGGTGATGCCGTCACCTTTCCTCTTGCCTGGAGGAACAATCGGAAAGTGAACATTCCACACTGGCAGATGGCTCATGCCCAGGGTATGGCTATCCCTGAGGCAAGTTGAGGGCTGGAAGGCCATCCCAGGGTCTCAGCCACCTTCCCCATCCCCTAGTTGCTGACCTGGGGTCTTAAGTTCAAGGCTAAGTGATGGCTTGTTCGGCATGCCTCATCCAGTGATCAATCAGTGTACAGAGTGGCCATCTCTATAGATCCCCTTTATGCCATTAAGCTGGGCAAACTGCTTTCCAGTCCCGATTGTCATTTCACTACCCTCTCCTGTTTTGTTATCAAGGTCATATACTTAGCAGAATTCCCCCTTGACCAGCAACCACCACGGAGGGGGAGAAAGGGTTTATTTAGTAGGCTAGCTTCTTACTCAGGGCCTGTCTCTCTTGCACCACTATATCTCTGTGAGCTCAATTGTCTTATGAATCCCTGGAGACAGCTATGTAGCTCACACTCAGTTTTGTTATTTGCTTTTTGTGGAACTGTCTTCCCCAACATTTGGTAGCCACCAGGTTTCCTGAGTCTCATGGACTATGCACAACTGGTCTCATTCCCTAAGATGTAGGTAGTGGTGGCATGTGAATCACTTCAGGGCCTTGTAAAGGATCTCTGCATCTCTAGTCCTGGACAAAGGACTTACCCAATATGTCTACCTTTCCTTTATTCTTCCTTCACCATTATCTGCAGGGCTGATAACAATGGTATCTCTTCAAATTCAAGCTCTAAAGTTGCTGCCGGAGAGTAAGGAACCAAAGGCTACTCCTTGGTCAAATATAATTAGGACTTAGGGCTGTCCAGAGCTTCTTAAATGTATCCAACTATGGGTTGAGGCAGAGCTTCAGAAGTGGAAAGCCACCTGTGCTAACTCTGCAGGCCCTGCACAGGCTGTCACTTTTCCTCTGGCCTTTGTGCTCTAATGCCATCCCTCTCTCCATCTGATGTCTGATTAGCTGTGTAGACAATTGTGACGTAGTTCACAACCCCAGTACAGCTTTCAGATGTACAGCAGATCAAAGAGGAGTAATGTAGGTGGATTTCTGGGGCCAAGTGTTCCCTCTGTACCTATCAGTTAACTGCATCCAAAGGTGGGCTATTGGCTGACCATGATGCCTGTGGGGGGAGTCCTGGACACCAACTGTACCTGTCATGGGTCCCCAGAGGGGGCTGAAGGCAGTGTTGGGGTGGTGAGGGGAAGGGATGGGCTCTAACCACCCTGGGTCTTTCAGGGCGGGTAGCAGCTCAGAACATGCTGGCACAGGAGGCAGAGATCAACACAGTGCCCTATCTGTGGACTGCCATGTTTGGCAAGAGCCTCCGCTATGCGGGTAACTAAAAGCCTGTAGGGTAGCTAAAAGCCCATCGTGGGGATGGGGACTTTGACCTACAGCAGTTAGAGGTTAGAGCCTGAAGGCACTTGGGGATCAAGTGTGGAGGTTGGATCCAAAAAGAACTAAGAATCTGCAAACAAGCTGGCTTAGTGCAGGTGTGGTTGTGTGAAGGCTAAAACAGGAAGATCAGGAATTTGGGGCTAATTTGGTGGTGGGGTGGTGGGCTAGGAACTGTTGAGGAGAAGAGGGGTGGTGAGATTGCTCAGTGGGTAGGGCTCTGCTAACATGTTCATGATCTGAGTTTGTTTCCCAGGCCTGCATAGTGTAAGGAGAGAATCAATTCCTGCAAGCTGCCCTCTGACCTACACACACACACACACACACACATACACACACACACACACACACACACACACACATACAAACACAGAGTAGGAGCCAATGATGGCAAATGCCTTAGGCCAAGCACTCAGGAGGCCATGGCAGGCAGATCTCTGAGTTTGAGGCCAGCCTGATCTACAGAGTGAGCTCTATCCAATACAGCCAGGGCTGCACAGAGAAACCCTGTCTGGAAAAACCAAGACAGAGATAGAAGGTGGGGGTTGCTTAGGCAGGAGTTAGGAGGGCAGGGTAGGGAGCCTGTAAAGACTCTGTAGATCCTCCCCCAATTCACATGGGCGCCCTCCCACAGGCTACGGAGAAGGCTTCGACGATGTGATCATTCAAGGGGATCTGGAGGAGCTGAAGTTTGTGGCTTTTTACACCAAGTGAGAGAAATGGGATACAATGGGAAACAGTGGGAGTGCATTGGGAATGGATGCTCAGTAGAAGCAAAGCAGGGTCGGGGGGAGGGGGGCTTGGCTGAGGAGAAGTGAATGCAAAGAGGGGTAGCTGGGCAGGAGGCAGTAACAGTCCTTCCACCGTCAAACAATACTGTGTCTTCTGATTTGAGGTAAGTGTTGAAACCAAGGTAGGTGTCTACAACTAGGAAAGGCATGCTAGTAGAGAAAAGGCGATGCTGAGGCCGGGACCATCCCTTCGCCGTGCCAAGGGCTGGAGCTTCCTAGGCCAACTGACAGTTCTGGGACCATTAGAGGGCTGGGTGCTCAGGACATCCTGTTTTCCTGGACAACAGCTTCCCAGCACCTCAGGTGGACAGAAGGGTGTTGGGATCTCCAAGAAGGACCATTTCTAGTGGTCCTCAGGTTCAGGCTCCTTCTCTCTATAGAGGTGATGAAGTGATTGCTGTGGCCAGCATGAACTACGATCCCATCGTATCCAAGGTGGCTGAAGTGCTGGCCTCAGGTCGAACCATCCGGAAGCGGGAGGTTGAGTGAGTGCCCGTGTGGGAGGTTTGGGTGTGTGTGTGTGTGGGTGTCCTGGGTAGGATTTACTCAAGCTTCCATGGCAGCCTGTTGCACCCACAGTCCTGTAGAGCTTTTCCCCTCACTTTTAGTTCCCATGGCTCCTGGGTAGGATGGGGGGTGAATTAGCGATTTAGAAGCTGACAAATTGTGATTACAGGAGCAGAAGGAAACAGGTGTGTGCCCCCAGAGAGAAGCCAGTGCTGTGGGATGGAGGCAAAGTCCACTACTTGAGTGAACCCAGCCTGGGACTCCTGACCAATGTGATTTGTGCTAGGCCTAGGAGGGGGAAAACAGTGGTGCTCCCAGATATGCCATACACAGGGATGTGGGAGATAGGACATCTGGGAGGCACTGGACACTAGCCATTCTGTATCCCAGCACAGTGCCAATAAGAGTCCCCTGTAGCTTGACCTGTGTATAGAGAACTTCCAGGAGCTAGGGACAGGGTAGAGGTGCCTGAGGGGCTGAAGGCTATCTGACAGGGGTAACTCCTAGAGTGGAAACAGGCAAGACCCAGAGTAGACCTCATAAATGACATGCTTTCTTTGGCCTTCTGTTTTTCCCTCTTGCCTTCGCAAAGGCTGTTTATGCTACACAGCAAGTACGTGTGTTCTGTTGACTGTTCTAAGCCTTTTCTTCCCCCAGCCCAATTATCAAATCCTCCTACCCTGCCCAAGTCCACTCCCCTGCTGAGCACCAGGTTTTGACACATAGCAGTCCCCGCTACTGTTTTCATGTTTGTTCATGGCCTGGAGTCGAGAACCTACCCTCTTCTGCCCTGACCCATCACTATTTCGTCCCTGCAGAACCGGTGACATGTCTTGGCTCACAGGGAGAGGATCCTGAGCTCTCATGTGGTGGATTTGGGCAGGCCTCTGGGCACCAAGGTCAGAGACCAAGTCCTGGGGGCCAGTGCCAATCTCCTATTTCCCAGGATACCCCAGGGTGGAATCTGAGTCCTCTCAAGGCTTGCCTTCAACTGTCTGCCTCCCCTCCAAAGAGGCTCCTGCTGTCTCCAGAAGATGGTCCCTCCCAAGGCTCAGCTGTTGTTGACAGCTGGTTTTAGAGGCAGGACAGGCTCTGCCTGTTTCCTCTCTTAGGACTGTCTTCCCAGCAAGAGCCTGTAACATTACCTTAAAATTAAAACACATGTATCTACAGATGTGTGTCCCATTGTAATTGGGCCAGCACTCGAGGGAGAGCCAGGTATGGTGTGACATACCTGCAATAGCAGAGTTTGAGTCCATCCTGAGCTACATGAGATCTTGTTTTTAAAAAGCTTCAGAAGCCAGAGGCAGCTTTTGTATTTGCCCACTTAAGAAAGATAGGAACTGGGTCCTGAGCCAGTTTCCATGCTTCTCACAGCCATCTGAGCTGCTTTGTTACTGTCATTAAATCACCTCATCGTTATATACTCAGAAATAAAAATACTCAGCTGGATTACAGTAGCCACTCAAAAACTTAGCCAGTCCAATTCTATATATCTCGATGATCTTTTGTACAGCTAGGATAGCCATTATGAAGCCACTAGTGACTTCACTTTTACTATTTTATGTTTACAAGCACTTACCACAAAAAAATACAACAAAGTTGAAACTAGAAAACCAATTAGCTTTACGATTTCATTTTCATGACTTCATGTGTCCCTTTTGCCTGAACTTTGTGAATCCTTATTTCACAGGTGAAGAACTAATTCAACTGGCCTCAAACTACAATGTAAAAAATACGGTTTGTGGTGTAGCCTAAGCGCAATGCTTGCCCATCATGTCTAGGGTTCAAAGCACACTGCAGAAACAAATGAAGATCCTGCTAATGAACAGGAACGGAGAACCCAGAGGTTCTCCGCTATCAAAAGTTCCAGACAATAAGCGCCAAAGGGAGAGGGGAGCACTGAAGACCAGGTTTAGGGGTACAAACAGAAGGTGGACGGTTGAGCCGCCTACAAGCCGGAAACCTCACTCTGGAGTTCCGGGGGTGGTGGCTTCCGGGCGATGACAAAGACCGACTATAAGGCTTGGTCTGATCAGACCGCGTTCCCCGAAAGTGGAAACCTGAGCCGATTCTCGGCCAGAAAAGCTTTCAGAATGGGAAGCACTGCGTGATAATGTGAGGAATCCCGCTGACAGACCCTTGACAGCCCGCCGTGTGGCGGAGAACGCAAGGCTTGTTGGGAAGGCGGACCTAGCGTGCAAGCTGGCCGGACGTGCTACGCCGTAGGCGCAGGGCTCTTCGGGAAATGTGGTCCCTTGGCTCGGCCCGGGCGGTGGCCGTGAGCCCTGCAACCCGGGCGGCCCATCCAGCCTGAACCAAGGATGGCTGGGCCTGGAGGCTCGGGGGCCCAGATCGGGCCCGGGGCCCTGGCAGGAGGTTTGCGCTCCAAGGTGGCTCCGAGTGTGGACTTTGACCACAGCTGCTCAGACAGTGTCGAGTACCTGACGCTCAACTTTGGACCCTTCGAAACAGTGCATCGCTGGCGGCGCCTCCCGCCCTGCGACGAATTTGTAGGAGCCCGGTACGACAGTGTACAAGAGATCCTGAAGGCAATGGGAGTGGCGACGAGAGCCGAGGAGGTCCCAGGATGGGTTCTAAGGGGCAACACCCCGTGTGATGTCCTGGAGGTAGTCGATTTCCAGGGAGTCGCACAGTAGTGACCCTAAGCAGGGTACCAGACGGTCCAGTTTGGGTAGGGAGTCTGAAGAGTCCTCGGTGTGTCAGGCGTCCTTCCTATCTAATGGAATTGAAGATCTCTGTAGATCTTGGCAGTGGAGAGGCTTTACCCAAACTTATGTGGCAGCCACCATGGTGGCAGCCTGGAGAGTCCCAGTCTCACTGCCCCTTCACCTCTTCTTTCTTTCTAGGCGCAGCAAGCACACAGTCGTGGCATATAAAGATGCCATCTATGTGTTTGGCGGAGACAACGGGTGAGTTTACCTGTTAATGGGAGTGGTGGCAGTGGACGATGACAGTGAGACAGACTATTGCCTAAGAAGGGAGTCATGAGCTATGCCCTGTGAACCTCTGTTTCCCTGTCTATAAGGTGCCTTGTACCTGGTTCCCAGGTTATGGTGAGAAGATCCTGCCTGGAAAGCCTTCTCACCCCAGCATTCAAATGGCAGTACATGGAAATATACTGTTTTGAATGAGTAGACACAGCCCTGTGTGGCACTTTTCTTCTTTCTCAACACTTCCCTCTAGGCTTTGCCCACTTGCTTGCTTTGTAACCAAAAGTATGGAGAACATGTTTTGTTGTTGTTTTTACATCTGTTTATGTGTGTGTTGGGGGTGCATGCAGGAGTCATCTTTCTCCTACCATTCGGGTACCAGGGATTGAACCCAGGTTGCAAGACTTGGTGGCAAGTGTCTTCACTTGCTGAGCCATCTCACTGCCTCCAAAATAAATTTTATTGATTCTGTGTATATCTTGCTTCTGGTGGAGATTTCCCTGTGTTGCTTTAACCTCCTGGAAAATACTCTTCCTGGAAATGACTTGCAGTTCTGGTGAGCACTTTTCTCCACACACAGACTTGTTAAGTTAAGGTAAGGTTATGTTTGCAAATGACTCCCTCTTCTCGGACCCAGAACCAAGGGGACTACAGCCTTGGTCCTGTAGTCTACCTGTGGTAGCTGATCTAGAGCAGGTGAGGTTTTCAGGATTCTATTAGAACATGCAAACTTGGCCATGGTCCTCTGGCATCATCTCATCTCCATAGTTCTTTCTCAAGAGCAGCTGGGGATCCATTTACAACTGCAAGTCAAGAGTATGTTCCTCCTCAGCCCATAGCCCCGTAACATCCTGGCACCTCTTTGTGTAGAGCTCAGTCCTTACAGGAGTGTATGAGGTCTACTGTACAATGGTGTTTTCCTGATTCTCAGCCAGCCCTTTGCATTGTTGTTTCTTCCCTGACACACTCTTGTGGCTTCCTTTCTAATGTTCCTTATGGATGAGGCCTTTGTGCCCTCTCTTACCAGCTCCATTTGCTCTACCCCCCAATTAGGCAAGTGTCGACACTGATTCACTTACCCAAGGCATTTTTCTTCTCACTTCTCTGTACCAGTGCCCAGATGTCATAGTCCGTGTTTAGTGAGTTAGAGGATGAGCCTTAGTAAGAATTCCCCACACTACAAAAGACCACTGTCCAGCATAGGGTGGTGGGTGGGAACTTAAGATCCCTGTCCTTAGCATTTTCTGGAGCAGGTAGACAACTGTGTGGTGAAAAGCAGAAGTGTCTTTGGTATGCAGTTTCAAAAGAAAGTTTAATTATGCATCTGCTTGCCTGTGACTTAAGATAAACCAGGGAAGCCTCCATTCAACAGAGTGGGAAGAAGGGTTCTTGCTAGGCAGTAGCAACTTTGCATATTGGAAAGCAGGAGGAGCAAGGAAACCCGGGGTTGAGGTGGGGCCAGGTCAGTTCGGGTAGAGTTCTTCAGGGCCGCCACAGGGATTTCCTCATGAAGATCCAGGTAGACTGCACTCTCTGGTTTTGGGGAAAAATTGTTAGGTTTTGGGGCCATCTGATCCTTGATGCTTGAGTTGATGAGGCGTTTGTCTTTGGGGGCCTAGTATAGGTACTTAGTTCAAAACAGTAGCCTCCCATTATTTTAACAAATGCCCCTACATTTAAGTAGGGGATTAAATGAGGGAAAGCATGACCCCAGCCTCTAAGCTTTGCCTTCCTGGCTGTTTGGCTATGCTTCCTCTCCCATAAAATGAAGTCAGGGAGGGTATCCACCGTCACAGACTGAGCAAGGCAGAGATGCCCTGCGAAGGCCTGGCCTGAAGGGGGTGCTTGAGGTCTTGTTGGTTCACTGCTCTTTTTCCACATTAACAAGAGTTGATAACATGCCAGTAATGTAAGCAGGACAGTGGAAATCCAGTGAACAATGGATTTCTCTTTAATGCAGTTGTTATGTCAGGTGACAGGGAGATGGGAAAGCATGCAGGTCTCCACTGATGTTTGAGCCAGCATTTCATTGTAGTGCAGCCTTGGGAGGGTTAAATGTAGGAGTAGGAATTCTGGAGACTGGGGTGAGGTGTGAGTGATGACTCCAGCCTCTGGGCTGGTTCATGCTCTCATATCAGCCTTGAGTGGGCTGCTGGTGGTGGGGATCAGGCTGGCTCTGTCAGTGTGGGAGCCCTAGTTGACCATATCACTAGTCACTAGTTCTGTCCTTTGGACATTGATGGGTTGTCTGACTCTGGACAAGTCCAGAGACCTGTGAGCCAAGCCCTTCCTGCTGTCTCCTACCCTTAGGTACATGCCCTTGCCCATCTCTATGATCCTGGTGAGGTAACACCTCCACAAAGTAGCCTGGCTACTGTCACCCTCTCTCTTTCTGCTTTTCAGAAAGACGATGCTCAACGACCTCCTGCGATTTGATGTGAAGGACTGCTCCTGGTGCAGGTGGGTGGCCCCTGGGCTCCAGGATCCTGCCCGTCCTGGAAAGCAGCAGCACAGTGCTGGGTCCACTGGTTGTTAGGGTCAGCTCATCGTGGAGGGCCAGAGAGAAATGTAACAGAGGACAGCCTTTGATGGCTTCCCTCCTTCTCGCAGTTTTCTGTGAGAATCATCCTAAATCCTGTGAACAAAGGGGTCTGCCTGATCTACTTGGTGGTATTTAGACTCTGACCTGGGAGGGACCTTCAATCATCAGAATTTCTCCTAGGCCAGCAGTTGCTGTCTGATCTCAGACAGGGCATGGGCAGGTCTCAGCTAGTTTTCCCAGAGTGCCACCTCCAGGCTGGCAGCAGGGCCTCCTGTCCCACCATTGTCTCATAGGACTAGTTGCCTGCCAGTAGACCCCACATAGGCATTAAGCAGCATGCAAACCCTGCGAACCATTCTCAGCTGTGTGGCCTTGTACAAGGGCTACCTGCTCTCTGGGTGCCACATATTGTGTTTCCTGCAGCAGTCCCTGTCTGGGAGCAGCTTAGAGTGGAGGGTGGGGGTTGACTGGACTTGCTAGCTCCATCATCTGCTCACACAGGAGCACAGTGCTACACAGCACCTCGTGGTGGTCTGGAGGACATCCCCTTGGTCCCCAGCGGCCTTCTGGGTTGGGGTCTGTTTTGAAAGAGGAGGATGCAGGGCTCTGGAGATTTTTGTGACTGCCCTGGACACTCAGCCAGGCAGGGCAGCTTCATTTGGCATCATGCACTGCCTTGGGGTTTCTATTGCTGTGCTGGAATACCGTGGCCAAAAGCAACTCCAGGAGGAAAGAGTTTATCTCAGCTTACATGGCCATGTCACAGTCCACACTCAAAGAAGTCAGGGCAGGAACTCAAGGCAGATAACTGGAGGCAGCAGCTGAAGCAGAGGCCATGGAGGGTGCTGCTTACTGGCTTGCTTCTCATGGCTTACTCAGCCTGCCTTCTTATACCACCCAGGACCACCAGCCCAGGCGTGGGACCACCTACAATGAGCTGGGGCCTTCCACATCAATCACTAATTAAGAAAATGCCACATCGGCTTGCCTACTGCCTGATATTATGGAGACATCTTCTCAGTTGTGTTTCCCTATTTTTCCCAAGTTGTAGATAACCTACAACTTGACACAAGTTGACAAAAACAAACAAGCAAAAACAACAAAACCTCACAATCAACTAGGACCCCACCCACTGCCTGGTAACACTGACATAGCAACAGAAATTGTTTTTCTCACACTTGATCTTTTGTTTGTTTGTTTTATTTTTTGAGACAGGGTTTCTCTGTGTAGGTTGTAGACCAGGCTTGCCTGGCTTTCACACTTCATCTTAATGCAGTTGCTACCAATTCTTTCCTTTTTCCTGTGCTGGATATAAAATCTAGGGACTGGTGCATGCCAGGCAAGCACTCTACCTCTGAACTGTATCCCTAGCCTTTTTTTTTTTTTTTTTTTTTTTTTTTTTTTTAGACAGGGTCTCAAACTTGCTATGTAGGTAAGGACGACCTGACCTCTTACCCACTTATATCTACACCTGAGTACAGGGGTTACAGACATTCACTCCCATGTCTGGTTTAACTTGCTATGTAGGTAAGGACGACCTGACCTCTTACCCACTTATATCTACACCTGAGTACAGGGGTTACAGACATTCACTCCCATGTCTGGTTTATTCAATATTAGGCATCTAATTCAGAACTTTGGCTGAGCAGGCTGCTGCAAGCTTAGTACAGACAAGGCAAGCACTAAACTAACTGAACTCCATTTCCGGATCTGGTTCTCTCTTAATTTTAAAAATCCTTTGACTGGCCAGTGACTTGCCCACCAGATAAAGGCACCTGCTGTGCAAGCTAGGTGAGCTGAGTTCAATCCTCAGAATTAAGTAAAGGTGGAGGAGATAGCTGCTTTACAAAGCTGTCTCTCACCTCCTTGTGTGTACTGTGGCGTGTACGAGCGCACGCGCGCACGCGTGCACGCACGCGCACACACACACACACACACACATACACACACACAGTGAAAAAAATGAAAATCACTTTGAAGACTTTGTGACTGTAATTACAAGTTGCTGAAGAAAGGTGAACTTGGTGGCATACAGCTGTAATACCAGCAGTCAGAAGGTTGAGGCAGAAAGATCATAAGTTCAAGGGCAGCCTGAGTTCAGAACCCAGCTTAAAAAAAAAAAAAATCTAGGAATGTAGTTCAGTGGTAACAGTGCTTGCTTAGCACATATTCCTTGGTCATCACTCGACACTGCAAATAATTCACATATAGCCAGGTGTGATGGTGGCATACAGTTAACATTGTAGTCTTTGGTAGGCAAGCAGGCAAATCTGAGACCAGCCTTTGTAACATAGCAAGACTCTCTCAAAAAACAAGCAAAAATACATGGCTTAAGCTGAGCATAGTGGTTCATGCCCAACCAAGTCAAAATCTGTTGCTTACTTAAAGAAACAAATTGTAAAATATCTTCCAAATGATTCATAAATAAATAAATAAAGGCCCTCAGCCTGGCATCACTGGTGGCTCACAAGTTTACTCCTAGCACACAAGCAGATCTCCTTGAATTGAGACCAGTCTACACAGTGACTTCTAGGCCAGCCAAGACTACCTAGTAAGACCCTATTTAAAGGGAAAAAAGTCAGGCATGGTGGCTTTTTAGTCCCAGCACCTGGGAGGCAGAGGCAGGTGGATCTCTATTTGAGGCCAGCCTGGGCTACATAGTGAAACCCTGTCTTAGAAAAAAAAAATCCCAAGAAGCTTGGTGTTTTGGAGCCAGGGCCTCCTTCCAGGCAGGATATGCAAGAATTTAATGCCTGTTACTTTGGTTTCCCCTGGCTACTGATGTTTTAAATGGTTCTACGGGAGAACGACATCCAATACAGAAGTAAAGCAAAGCTGACGCTCTGGTGTACATCTCTTCTCTCATCTCTTTGGGTGGCTGAGGTGAAAGACTGCTTGAACCATAAATTAGAGGCCAGCTTGGGCACCACAGTGAGAACCTGTCATGGTGATGCCTCTCCCTAACCCCAGTATTCAGGAGACTGAGGAAGGAGGAGGATAAAGTTGAGGCTAACCTGGACTCCATAGCATAGTGAGTTACCTGCCAGCCTGGACCACTTACAGCAACAACATAACTTGAAAAGGAAAGGAGAAGGGAGGATAGGGTAGAAGAGAAGGAGGGAGGAAAGGAAAACAAAGTTTTGGGGGTCTCAAGGGCGATGGGGCTTGGATTGCCTGGCTGACCCCTCACTGACTTCACCCTGTGCCTCTCCCAGAGCCTTTACCACTGGCACCCCACCAGCTCCCCGTTACCACCACTCAGCTGTTGTCTACGGGAGCAGCATGTTCGTCTTTGGTAAGCAGCCTTGCCCTCCCACCCCCTCACCCTCCATGAGGCTCTCTGAGCTCTGTTGGGTCAGGGTTCTCTTACCCCACTAACTGATTTTCCTAGTGTCCCTAGCTCATGGGACTGGGTGTGTCCTCTGATGGCTAGGGCAAGAAACATCAATGTGCCTGTCCCTGCATCCCAGTGCAGAGGTAATTTGGGTGGGCTAGGGGTTGTTGCTAGAGGTTTGTACATGTTAACTAGGACCCCCACACTTAAATACCAAATAGTACCCCAGATGTAACACTTTGCTTTCATTCTCTTCACCCAGGGGGCTATACTGGAGATATTTATTCCAATTCTAACTTGAAGAATAAAAATGACCTCTTTGAATACAAGTTTGCAACTGGCCAGTGGACAGAGTGGAAAGTTGAAGGGCGGTAAGTGGTTTTGCAGAGAACTTTCACAAGAAGAGAGTGGACTTAAGCCTGGGATGTGCTTCCTGCCACTTTTCAGATGGGGAGCCTGTGGCTGGGAGACTTTAGCTGCTTAGTTTTCATCACTGCTGAGTCCCATGTGGCAGGGCTAGACAGGACATTTGCAGCAGGCTGGAAGCTGCGAGCTGTGCTCAGGCATTGCCTCAGCCCAATCCCAGGTGTACACCCCTTCTTTCTCAGGAACTGGGTGGGCTGATCTGTGAGTACACCCTTCACTATTTTAAGAGCAGCTGGGAAGGTGCTGGGCCTATGTGGACCACAGAATTCCTTTTTTTTTTTTTAATTTAAAAGAGGACTCTGACTTTTTATTTTTATTTATTATGTATGCAGTCTTCTGCTGGCATGTATCTGGTGCCAGAAGAGGGCACCAGATCTCATTACAGATGGTTGTGAGCCACCATGTGGTTGCTGGGAATTGAACTAAGGACCTTTGGAAGAGCAGCCATTGCTCTTAATCTCTGAACCATCTCTCCAGCCCCCTCAAAATTTCTTTTGGTTGTATTTTGTTTTATTTATTTTTTCTCAGCACTGGGGATGGAACTCAGGGCCTCATACTAGGCAAGCTCTCTGTCATTGAGCTATACTCCAAGGTCTGTATCTGACTTTCTCCTTCTTTGCGACAGGCTCTAATGAGGCTAGGCTGCCTCTGAACCTGCTGTGTAGCTGAGGAAGGCCCTGAACATCTGGTCCTCCTGTCTCTGGCCCCTGAGTGCTAGGGTTACAAGTGTACTCACCATACCTGGTTTTGTGGTGTTGGGACTCAAACCCAGGGTTTCGTGTATGCTGGAAAAGCAACCTACAAACTGAGCCACATCCCCACCCCTTAGGAGGGGTTTTGGTTTTGCCTTTGTGTTTTTCGTTGTTTGTTTTGAATCAGGGTCTCACAGTCCCACTGACCTCGGGCTGGTCTTGAAGTTCTGACCTTCCTCCTTTCATCTCCTAGTGCCAGGATTTACAGACACATGCCATCATGCCTGGTTTTATCATCTGAATATTTTACACATCTGCTGTTCAGACCTCTTGTGCTATTGTTTGCATCTAGTGCCCCAGCACTGCCCTCTGAGCTCCAGTGTCAGGCCGTTGTGGCCCTAGCTGCTGAATACACAGAGCCCTTGCTTCAGGATGTTCCGATGACCTTTCCTCGTGTGTGTGTGTGTGTGTGTGTGTGTGTGTGTGTGTGTGTGTGTGTGTGTGTGTGTGTGTTGGGGTATTTTCCTGACATATATGTCTGTAACACATGCATGTCTGGTGCCTGAGGAGACCAGAAGTGGGATTGAAGTTCCAGGGGGTGGTTGTGAGAGCTAGGAATTGAACCTGGGCCTCTTGAAGAAAAGTGAGTTTTCTTCAGTGCTGAGCCTTCTTTCCAGCCCCTCCTCATGTTTTTCCTTATGTTCTAGGTTGCCAGTTGCCAGATCAGCCCATGGGGCCACAGTGTACAGTGACAAGCTCTGGATCTTTGCTGGCTATGATGGCAATGCCAGGTAGGCAAGTAGCTGGCCATGTACCCTACCTGTGCATGTCCTCAGGGGCAGAATAAGCTCTCTTGGCACCTGAGTGCTCAGGCTGGGGTAAGTTGCCCTGCTGGGTTTTGAGTCTCTCAGGAGAGGGGTATGGAGGTGAGGCTTCTGAATGGACGGACCTCCTAGCCAAGTCTGTGATCCCTGGACTTCCTCAGATGAGGAGATTTGGAACTACAGGGGCCTGGAGGCCAGAAGCATCTCAGCTTAAAGCCAGCCCTGTGTTCCTCCCTGTGTTACAGTTTCCTCTTTATTTATTGTTTTATATTTTGCTTTTGTTTTAAGACATGGTCTCAGCTGGGTGGTAGTGGCACATCCCAGAACTCAGGAGGCAGAGACAGGCAGATCTATGTGAGTTCGAGGCCAGCCTGGCCTATAGAGCAAATGCCAGGATTGCCTCCAAAGCTACACAGAGAAACCCTGTCCTCAAAACAACAACAACAAAAAGACAAGTTCTCTCTCTAGCCCTGGCTGTCCTGAAGCCCTCTGTGTAGATCTGGCTAGCCTGGAACTCACAGAGCTCCTCCTGCCTCTGCTTCCTGAATGCTGAGATTAAAGGTGGGGGCCTCCACACCAGGCTTCCTCCTTGTTTTAGAAAGTTGTTTTGGGCCTGGAGAGATGGCTCAGAGGTTAAGAACACTGGCTGTTCTTCCAGAGGCCAGGTGTTCAATTCCCAGCAAACACATGGTGGCTCACAACCATCTGTAATGAGATCTGGTGCCCTCTTCTGGCCTGCAGGAATACATATAGGACAGAACACTGCATACATAATAAATAAATATATCCAAAAGTATTTAAAAAAAGAAAAAAGAAAGTTGTTTTATTGTATTTGTCTGGTAACCAAACAGTGCATGCTCATTTTAACTGCAGCGGTGCAGAAACCAGTATCGGCACAGTGGAGCAGCAGGCTTTATGGGACACATCGTCTTTTCCCTGCCCCACGTATCTGGCTCTGTCCCATAACCCCAGATGTTATGTATAAATCTACTTCTGTTTTGGCTGGTCAGAGAGCCAGCAGGAAGTGAGAGCTGTTAGAGGCTGTGTGCTGGGATTTGATGTAGATCTTCCCCGGAAGTTCCTGTTTCTTATAAGAAAGATGGCACAGTTGTCTCCTGACACACGTGGCAAGTGGTTCTTCCCTGGAGCTCTCCCTCCCAGCCAGGCTCAGGGCCAAAGGATCCTGACTCCTCCATCCTGATGCAGGTTGAACGACATGTGGACAATTGGCCTCCAGGACCGAGAGCTCACATGCTGGGAGGAGGTGAGGGGTGCAGGGAGCATGATGCAGGTGGGAAGTCAGGGGCACTGGGGACCGGGTTGCAGCATCCAGAGGTGAGGGATAACGGAAGCTGGTATACGGGTGAGAGGTGCTAGGGTGGCATATAACAGTCTGCCTTCTTCCCCTCACCAAGGCCCACCTCTTTGTCTCCTTTACCCTTCTGCCAGCCCAACTCCAGTATTAACTAGAAACTCCAAGTGGATATAGTTTAGTTGGTAATGTAGCATGCACAAAGCGAGCATTTGATCCCCAGACACAAATAACCTGGGTGTGGAGGTGCATGCCTGTAACCCCAGCACTTGGGAGATGGGTCAGAAATTCATGGTGATCCTCAGCTACAGCGTGAGTGTGGGGTCAGCCTGGGCTATGTAGAGAGCTTCACAGAGAGATCCTGTCTCCAAAAGGAATGAATTGAATAAATAATAAAAGGCTTTGGAGCTGAGGCTGGAGTTCATGGTAGCACAGCATGTACACATTCCTGGCTTTGATCCCTAGAAGCAAAGTGGAGTCAGAGGAAGGAAAAAGCTCCAAGTTTGATAGGCAACGTGCCACATGTGTCAGATGTGATTTGTTCCCGTCCACTCTCATGTGAACACAGCAAAGGCAACATTTTGTTTATAAAGCTCCCCTGGAGCTTTATTTCTCTTGTAGAAATTACATTCTTAGCTCCAAATGAACTTCACAATTTTAGCCACATCTGATCAGAACTGGGCCCGTGTGAGTAGGTGTGATGAGGCTGTAACCTATTTACATTTATTTGCTTCAAAGTGTAGGACAGTGTAGCTCCAGGCCTGTGAGGCCCTGGCTGAACCGTACCCCTATTGCAGGTAGCCCAGAGTGGGGAGATCCCCCCATCCTGCTGCAACTTCCCTGTGGCTGTGTGCCGGGATAAGATGTTCGTGTTCTCAGGGCAGAGTGGAGCCAAGATAACCAACAACCTCTTCCAGTTCGAATTCAAGGATAAGACGTGAGTTCCCTGGGTTTTGAGTGATGCAGATAAAGCTCAATCCTGTGTCTGGTAACTGTTGTGATCTCCCCTAGTTCCCACATATAGCAGGAGCACTCAGCCTGGAGTATGGGTTTTTGACACCCTCATAAGGCCCTTGAGGTATGGCTGTAGCTCAGCAAGGTCTATAGCCTGAGTCAGGGTCCCACAGCTGGCCCGAGTCAGATAACCGTTGCACTGTGTATGGCTTGTTCATTGACACCAGTAACAAATGTGGCCAGCATTAATCTCATGGGGTAGCAGAAGACAGGGGCTGCTGGCTAGCCTTAGGACTCTGTGATGGGGCTAGCCTGTGGCACCGGAAGTAGCAGAGGAATAGGGCTTGGGAGGGGACTCCTAGGTGGAGGGAATCTTGTTGAGTACTGGGGCAGATGTGGAATTAGCCTGCATGTTTGGTTCCTTAGATAACTTAGCAGAAAAAGGGATTTGTTGGAAAGGCCTAGGAGCCCTTGGAGGGTAGAAGTTTGGAGGAGCGTTAGTGCCTGGGCAGGCATCCTCTAGGTGCAGACTCTCCTGATGGGGCAGTGAGAACAATTATGACAACACAGGTCTGTATAGCTCCATTCCCAGAGAAGACTAGCAGAAGCTTTGCCCTGTCCCTGCTGTCTGCTCTATGGTGGCAGGAGGAGAGGGAGCTTGGGTAGAGCTCCATGGTGGGTTGCATGGAGTTGAGTAGGGCCAATACCTGACCTAAACAGAGCAAGAGATGCTACACACACAGGCCTGTGCCTTCCGTTTAGACCATGGGCTGGCAGCACAAGGACTTTAGGGGAACTTCATAGGAGAGCCTTTTGGGGAGTGTGTGTGAGAGCAAAGTCCCCACCCCAGTTCTGGTTCATGGTCATGGCCCCAGGTGGACGCGCATCCCTACTGAGCACCTGCTCCGGGGCTCCCCACCCCCGCCACAGCGGCGCTATGGACACACCATGGTGGCCTTTGACCGACATCTCTATGTGTTTGGGGGTGCGGCAGACAATACACTGCCCAATGAGCTGCATTGCTATGATGTGGACTTCCAGACCTGGGAGGTCGTCCAGCCCAGCTCTGACAGTGAGGTAAGTCCTGCTGGGTTTCCTTGGTTCCATATAGCCAAGAGCAACTTGAGAACTTTTACAGCCCCTAGTCCTGTATCCTTCAGCTTTGCATGCCTGCATTCCATCAGTCACATTGTGCTGCTACCCTGCAGATCTCTGGGAAGCGCCCTGGCCACCTTCGCAGCCTTCCTTGATGTCTTGTCCCTCTGGAGCCCATAGCAAACCCTGGAAGGGATGGTGGCTTGTTACCTTCTTGCATGTTTCCTCAAGGTTGGTGGGGCTGAGGTGCCTGAGCGAGCTTCCTCTTCTGAAGAGGCATCAATCCTAACCTCAGAGGAGCGGAGCAGCTTTAAGAAGTCCAGAGATGTGTTTGGCTTAGACTTTGGCACCACCTCAGCCAAGCAGCCTGTCCACCTGGCATCAGAGGTGAGTGTCAAGGACACTTATTAAAATTCCAATGCCCTCTGAAGCAGGAACTCTCATAGATGTGTAGAGCAGGGCTCCTGGAAGAGCAACACATGGCTCTGGGGTCCTCTAGTCAGTGTGGCTCATTGGCCCAAAAATGCTGTTAACCTGGGTTTCTGCACAATCTGTCCTGCCCTCTGCCTCACTCCAGGGTCCCAGCTTCCCTCTGTACCTACAGGAGCACCCAGGGAACCTCTATCCAGGGGACTGGGATCTTTGGCCTTTCCTCTTTCATGGCCACATGGATCTGTGACACTATCTTGGCCACAGCCAGATCCACAGTTGGCATCTGTCCCATCCCATTACTCTGTCTCCTTGTCCTTCTCAGCTGCCCAGTGGGAGGCTCTTCCATGCAGCCGCTGTCATCTCTGATGCCATGTACATCTTTGGGGGCACTGTGGACAACAACATTCGCAGTGGAGAAATGTACAGGTTCCAGGTATGTAGCTAATTGTTCTGTGAGGCCTGCTGGGGTGGATGTCCCCAGAATGCAACTGAGGCCAGTGGGTGGGATTAGGGCTGTGATAGGGTCCCTATTGATAGCTAAGCCTGAGGGATGACAGTATCTTGGAGAGTCTGGTGGAGAGGACTGGAGGTGCTGTAGGTCCAGGTATGCAGAGATGGCACTAGGAGGAAGAGAGCCTTCCTGCAGAGTGAGGCAAGCTTCAGAGAAGAGTATCCGGGGAGCACACAGAACTAGCAAAGGAGTGGGCCACGCTGGGCTCTGTGCCAGGATCTCCAGGGAAATCATAGGCTGGAGAAGGCTGGTGGGAGCTTCCCTTGGAGCCCCTTCCCAAACCTGAAGGAACAGGTTGTTAGGACAGGGGTCCCTGGTAAGTGGAGACATGGATAAATCTGTTTCAGTGGTGGGGAGGGGTGGGACGGGGTTGCTTGATTACTCAGGTCCAGGTTTTTACAGTGCAGCCTGCCTAAAGCCTGGGAGTCTTTGTCCAAGAAAAAAACAGTGGAAGCTAGAGAGATGGCTCAGTGGTTAAGAACACTATCTGGTCTTCCAGAGGTCCTGAGTTCAATTCCCAGCAACCACATGAGATCTGTAATGAGATCTGATGCCCTCTTCAGGCCTGCAGGGATACATGCAGACAGAACACTGTATACATGATAGATAGATAGATAGATAGATAGATAGATAGGTAGGTAGAAAAAAAAATAGAAGAAATAGGAGGCCTTCTTAGTCATGGCCCAGGCTCACCTGACCCTGGTCTGAGGGTCCCATGGCTGGCTGGTCTCAGGATGGCTTGTTGATTGCTCATTGATTATCCCTCTTCAGTTTTCTTGCTACCCTAAGTGCACACTGCATGAAGACTATGGGCGCCTATGGGAGGGCCGCCAGTTCTGTGATGTGGAGTTTGTGCTTGGTGAGGTAGGTGACTGACCTATGCCAGCCTCACCTACTACTCTATCTGCTGAGTGGAGCTTTGCCCTGGCCGGCTGGCTTCTGTCCCCTGGGGCAGGGGTCCTGTGCTTTCACCCACATACCAATTGTTCTTTATGCAGAAGGAAGAGTGTGTGCAGGGCCATGTTGCCATTGTCACTGCACGAAGCCGCTGGCTTCGTAGGAAGATCTTGCAGGCTCAAGAGTGGCTGGCTCAGGTAAGGTCTCCTTTAGCCCCCACGACTGGGAAGCTTTGCCCACTGTCTAACTGGGGTGCCCTGAGCTCCCTTTTCCCAACAGAAGCTGGAGGAGGATGGGGCCCTAGCTCCCAGGGAGGCCCCTGGTTCAGCTGTGGGCAGGGCACGGCCACCCCTGTTACGTGTAGCCATTCGTGAGGCTGAGGCCCGGCCATTCGAGGTGCTCATGCAGTTTCTCTACACAGACAAGATCAAGTATCCACGGAAAGGTCTGCCTCGGGTATGGGTGGTATGGACCACAGTGGGGAATGGGCAACAGAGCCAGAGGTGGTGCTGCTAGGTCTGTTACAGATGTGCCCAAGGTACAAGCCATAGTCAGTTGGCATGCAGTTCTTGTTCATGGAGGGAGCTCTGGGCCCTGTTTTGGGCCCTCCTTTCCCCCGGACCCTAGGCTCAAGGGCTTTTTGGTACAGGCCATGTAGAGGACGTGCTACTCATCATGGATGTATACAAGTTGGCGCTGAGCTTCCAGCTGTGTCGCCTTGAGCAGTTGTGTCGGCAGTACATTGAAGCCTCTGTGGATCTGCAAAATGTACTGGTTGTATGTGAGAGCGCTGCCAGGCTACAACTGGGCCAACTCAAGGTACAAGTTGGGGTTAGCTTAGCCGCTGGGAATGCCTACCAGCCCAAGCCTTCCTGGGTGGGGTGCGGTGTGTTCCCTTGCTCCTCACTGCAAGCTCTGCGCACAGCCTGACCTGATTTCTATGTGCTGTGCCTGTCTGTCCCAGGAGCACTGCCTGAACTTCATAGTGAAGGAGTCCCACTTCAATCAGGTGATCATGATGAAGGAATTTGAGCGCCTCTCATCCCCTCTGATTGTAGAGATCGTTCGTCGGAAGCAGCAGCCGCCCCCTCGAGCACCCTCGGATCAACCTGTGGACATTGGTAGGGAATGTAGGGAACTTAAGAACTACCTACCTGCCAGGCTCTTGGAGTAAGGTGGCTCTGTGACCCACCAGGTGCTCCCAGGCACAAAGGCTGGGAGGGACAGAGACAGTCTCAAAGAATTCATAGAGGCTTTCAACAGCTAGCTGTGTGCCAGTGAGCCTGGATACCCACCCCTGGGGTGACCTGTGCCTTCTCTAGTTGGCTGGTCAGAACTGGCATCAAGTGATATCAGCTACATATCATCTAATACTTCTCATCCTACCCAGAGGAGAAGTTTGATAGCACCTTCACTTCCTCTTGGGGCTTGTACTAGCCCCTGCCACTGGCATAAGAGTCCAAAAGATGAGCCCGGAGGGGAGTCCAGCATGAGGCTGGGAGCTAGGCATTAGGGCACATGGTGGAAAACTGTGTATTGGTGCAGCATCCCTGAGGGCCAGAACAAGGACTGCAGTTTCCAGGGGACCTGAGGGCTGAGGGAAGGAAAGACTGGCACTTTTAGCTTGGGGAAACTGAGCAGCAAAGCAACATGGTCACTGCAGAGAGGCAGTGCTTATTGGGCCAGAAAACAAAGGTAGCCTATCCATTCAGGGTGGAGGTGGGAGTCTCCTCAAGGTCCTTCTACACCCCCAGGCACATCTTTGATCCAGGACATGAAGGCATACCTGGAGGGGGCAGGCTCGGATTTCTGTGACATCACATTGCTGCTAGATGGCCACCCACGACCAGCCCACAAAGCCATCCTAGCTGCCCGTTCTAGGTGTGTTGAGGATGTATGAGGGAGGGAAGGGCAGAGCCCTGATGCTTTCTTCTCCTGAGTGCTAGGATCTACCTCCTTGTTTGCAGCTATTTTGAGGCCATGTTCCGTTCATTCATGCCAGAAGATGGGCAGGTGAACATCTCTATTGGGGAGATGGTGCCCAGCAGACAGGCATTTGAGTCCATGCTACGTTACATCTACTATGGCGAGGTCAACATGCCGCCTGAGGACTCACTGCATCCTTTTACCTGCTGGTGCTCCTGGGTCACTACTGGGAAGTCCTCACATCCCTCAGACATGTTTGGTTGGCTGGGTGATCTCAGCTTGGTACATAATTCTAGGGTGTCCAGTGCTGGTGCTGGGCCTACTGGTCTCCAAAGACTCCAAGCAGGTGGGCAGCTGGAGGGGCCACTTTGCAACTAGCACAGTTGAGTCTTGACCTTTATAAATGCCTGGGACAAGTGGGGCTATCACTGTTTAACAAACAGGTGAGTAGACAAAGGGATTCTTTTTTTTTTTTTTTTTTTTTTTGGTCGAGACAGGGTTTCTCTGTGGCTTTGGAGGCTGTCCTGGAACTAGCTCTTGTAGACCAGGCTGGTCTCGAACTCACAGAGATCCGCCTGCCTCTGCCTCCCAAGTGCTGGGATTAAAGGCGTGAGCCACCAACGCCCAGTGACAAAGGGATTCTTTGTGCGTTCTGTCAGAAGTGTTTGAACCTGAGGTGCAAGGACGTCTGATGGGGCCAGAGAAGGCTTGGAAGAGTTCTGTGAATGTGCACATGGAAATGAGGATTCAGGTTTTCTTTGAATCTTGAATGGGGCCTTTGAGCTTGAAATGGTTCAGAACCAGTTTAGAGAGCAAGCCAACTGGGGTGCAAACTGGAGTTCTGGCTTCTGAGGTTTGTGTAGTTCCAGCAGTACCCTCTCCAGGAGGACTAGGGATGTGGCAGGATGGGTGGATGCAAGTGAATATGTGTCCTCTGACTTGGCAGCTCCTTAACTTGTGCCCAGCTACCTGTTTGCAGCCCCCTACTACTACGGCTTCTACAACAACCGACTGCAGGCATACTGTAAGCAGAACCTGGAGATGAATGTAACGGTGCAGAATGTGCTACAGGTAGTGCCTCAGTGCCTTCCCGCCACCCCTTCATCTGTGGTGAGCCGAGGCACGGCCTCATTGTCCCTGCCATTGCAGATTCTGGAGGCGGCTGACAAGACACAGGCACTGGACATGAAGCGGCACTGCTTGCACATCATTGTGCACCAGTTCACCAAGGTCAGGCTCTGGCCCCAGGGCTCTTGGTCCCAGCCCTCCCCAGCAGGCCTGGGCATCTCTTGGCCATTGCCCACTGTCCTCAGACAGCCAAGGCCTGAGCAGGCTGGGCCCCAAGAGGACTTAGCTGCCCTTGCTGGTCCTCCTGGGAGTCTGGTTTCATCTAGTTTTGGTCATCTGTGCAGGTCTCTAAGCTGCCCACACTGCGGTTGCTGAGCCAGCAGCTGCTGCTGGACATCATAGACTCCCTGGCCTCCCACATTTCTGACAAGCAGTGTGCAGAGCTGGGTGCCGACATCTGAGGATCTTTGTGAGGACTCTACCTGTTTGGAGAGTGATGATACTCAACCGATTGGCCACATCTCCACCTACAATGTGATCAGACCTGTGGTCCCCAGCTTCTACTGGGCAGAGGTGTACAGGAACTCCTAAAGGCTGGGCTTCATTTCGGACACAGGCCCCATAGGGAATGGAAGTGAAGCAGACTCCCTTTCCAGCTGGCACCTCTTCCAAGGAGACCAAGGCTCAGGGACACTGCTCAGTGGTAGATGAGTGTGGCTTGTGTTCCCAGTGTGTTGTGGATCCAGGTATAGAATCCTATTGTCAGGAGATCAGGGCTTGTCAAGTTACTCTACCAATAGGCTGTATTCCACTCCTAACCCAGAATTTAAGAATGGGGATCAGTGAAGTGTCTGATTCTAGACATGAACTTTGGAGATTTTGCTCCCAGCTCACAGGGCAGCAAGTGTAGCTTAGCCTCCCAGACAGGCTGCATGTTCCAGTCCACCCCGTGTGCATACCTGGGCCAGGGAGGAGTCAGCAGAGACACACACAGCTCTTGTGTTCTGTCACGGACATGCCTCCTTTAAAGCTGTGGCAATGCTGTGTACACACTTGGCTGGCATAGTGGCCACCTCTAGTCTGCCCTCCTGAAGCACATGGCAGGCAGTTCCATGGCTTTAGGAGATTCCCCAGATGTGGGCTTAGCACATCTGCCCGTGTCAACACATGGTGTCAGTCACAAGGGAGAGAAGATTGCATATCTGGGATATCTCCTAGGAGACTTTCCGAGCATCCATCCTAGTTACCTGATTTCAGGGTGTCAGAGCCTACATCCAGTGTAGCACAGTGGGCCCTTTCTGAGTACAGGAACCTACTCTGTCCTAGGAAGACAGAACTCATTTTGGAGAAATGCTTGACTCTTCCTGGCCTTAGAACACATTTTCCTCCTGTGTTCCATTCACCCCATGCTGTGGGGCTCTAGGTAGAAAAGTGCCCAGGATGGCAGGCAGTCCCAACAGATGACCAGGAAGTGGTTTGGTTTATAAGATGAAGTACTGAGCTCAAGCAGCAGTTTAGCTGAGTGGAGGGTGCCAGCCCATGGTGGGCAGCCAGGCAGGCTTGATGTGAGTCAGCTGTGCTATGTCATAGCCATTCCCCCAAGGTGGTGAGCTATTCCAAGCCTCTTTTTTTTTGTGTGTGTGTGGGGGGACTTTGGTCTGCAAATCTTGCTTCATGCTGACCCCTGTAACTGGACCTTCAATTATCTCCTCTACACAGGATATGAATAAAAATATTCACCCAGGGTTTCAAAAAGAAAACTTTCAGAACTTTGTGTACAAACTCAGCCAGAAACTCAACTGTGCTTAAACTATGTGGCCAAAGAGCAGTAGGGAGAGGCCATGTGCTTATGTTTACCATGGACACAGCTATAGTAAGAAGTCTAGATTCTCAAGATGAACATAGTACTAAGGCCAGGACCTGAATGCTGTATCTAAAGGACTATTCTCTAGGTGTGGTCTTACAACTTGACAAGTGTAGCACTCTATGTTGGTTTTGAGGCTCTCTAAATGGGGCCATGAGTGAGCAGTTCAAGGGACTGGTCAAACGGATGAGGCCTGTGGGCAGAAGCTTGTTGTGCCTCTACATAGGTACCCAGTCTGACAGTGGGTATGATGGCACATGCCCATCACTCTACTCAGAAGGTACAAGGAGAATCAGGAGTTCAATGTCATCTGTGGCTTCAATAACACCAGCCTGGACTACATGAAACCCTGACTCGAAAAAAGGAGGGAGAAGGACAGAGCTGAACTCAAAGGAGCTGGCTTTCTTACTTGAAAGAGTGAGTAAATAAGTGGAGGGACTGCAAACAAAGATTCCCCATGGTCAGGAGGGTGCATGTCAGGGCCTGATCCCTCTGAGGCTTTGGCCATTGTCTAGGGAGGAGTCTGGCACCCCCCAGCTGAGCCAAACAGCAAGGTCTCTTTCTAGCATCCACTTTATTGTGACTTCCGGTCAGCCTGGTGGATGTAGTTCCAATCAAATACCTCTGAGGAAGAGAGACCAGAGCCTTGGGTGTCCTCATGCCATGCTATTGCTCAGCTGCAAAGCGAAGTCCTGTACATGGTCCTTCAGGGTCTGGCGGGCATCTGCCTGTGCCCTCTTCTCTCGTGCCCGTTCCTGCTGCAGCTTGGTCAGTCGAAGTCTAAGCCGCTGTTCCCTACGTTTGCAGGCCTGCAGCTGGCGCTGGGCCTTGTCCAGAGCATCAAGAGCTGCTTCAGCTCTCCTCTTCCAGAGCAAGGCACTCCCCACTTGGTAGCTGTGCTCATTCTGGATGTAGGCTCCAGCAGGTGGTGGCAGCCGCAACATGTAAGCAGATGGGGAGATAGGCCGTGGCTCAAGAGGGGAGGGGTGCTGCTCTGGTGAAGGCTGGGCACTACAGCCTGCTTCCTCTGCTTGGGCACCTACCGGGCCCAGAAGATCTGAGAAGGGGCTGTTAAGGCCAGGTTCCAGCCTCACAGCTGGGGATGCAGGCAGAGTGGCAGGCGCTGAGGCTTCTTCCACAGGGAAGCAGATGATGTCAGCAGGAGGTGGAGAAAACAGGGTTGTGGGTCCTTGACCTTCAGAGCAGCTGGAGGGGAGACAGAAACTGACTAGCCAACTAAGAGCATGCCAGGACCCTCATACACCCACTTACACTCCCTAACACCTGAGCCCCTTCACTGGGTCCAGGCAGCAAGAACCCTGTTCAGTGAAGATGCTGGCACTCACCCTACAGTTCAGTCCCTCAGCCCTGGGGGGAGGGTGGGGCATCTCCCTCCTTCAGCACATACCGCTTCCTGCATCGCCGGAGCCGGCTGACATCAGGCAGGCCAGGTGGATAACCATGCCCCTTGGTCTTGGTTGTTCGACGTAACTTGGAGAAAGACTCAAATATGGTGGGGACTGCCCCTTCCTTCAGCCTGTGATACCCACTGTGGGGAAAAGCAGCCCAGATGAGGTGGAAATAAAGTGCTGCCACTTCCCCTGGTCCCAACATAGCTCCCCTCAGCACTAGGGCTATGGGCTTCATGGCACACTGCCAATAATCTGAAGAATGCCAAGTTTGGTAGAATCCAACTAGTCTGCCCTGTGAATGAGCATCCAGACTTGAAGTGAATGGACAACGCCTCCCCACCCCCGCACGGCTAGGTGGACTAGTCAGAAGTCTCTCATTTGTGGGCCTGCTGGAAGAACTAGGGGCCAAATACCCCAGAGAAAAGCTATTTTACTTTTGTGTGGATATCAGAGGCCTTCTTAAAATTATTCTCCACCTGTTTTTAAAGATTTCTTTTTTCTCCTTAAAAACATTTATGTGTATGGGTGCTTTGCCTGTACATATGACTATCCACATGCCTGGTACCCACAGAAGTCAGAAAGAGCACTAGATCCCTGGAACTAGAGTTTACTGGCTTGTGAGCCACCATGTGGATGATGGCAAATGAACCCAAGTCGTCTGGAAGAAACCAGTATCTTTTTTGTTTTTCAAGACATGGTCTCTCTGTGTAGCTTTGGAGCCTGTCCTGGAACTTACTCTGTAGACCAGGCTGGCCTCAAACTCACAGATCCGCCTGCCTCTGCCTCCAGAGTGCTGGGTTTAAAGGTGACACCAGTGACAGCTTGAAGCCTCTTAACCTCTGAGCCATCTCACCAGCCCTATTTATGAGTATGAATGTTTTGCCTACATGTACAATGTGTATGTACCACCTGTGTGCCAGGGCCCTTAGAAGTACGAAGAAGGCAAGGGATATCCCTTGGTGCTGGGAATTGAACCCTGGTTCTCTAGAAGAGTAACAAGTGCTCTACATTGTTAAGCCATCTCTCCAGCTCACCCACATTTTTTCTATCTATCTATCTATCTATCTATCTATCTATCTATCTATCTATGAATGACAGTGTCCCCTTGAACACAGGTCTCAACAACTCATCTAGACTAGCTAGCTGGCAGGAGCCCTGGTATCTTTTAGTTTTGTCTTCTCCAGACCTGGGAAAACTGTCTTCCCAGCCGGGAAAGGCTGTTATTCTCGGATGCTACTGGCATGGTAATCCTGGGGCCATGCTTTACTGCACACAACTGGGAAGAGGTCACAGCACCCTCGACATAGGTGTGCCTGTCTGTGAGCGTGCCAGCCAGCCGTTCATGGGCTTCACCAGGGCACAGAGCCGCCCCACTTGCCACACTCACTGCTCTGATGCCTCACCACCTGTTCAAGTGTCATCTGGCAGAAAAACCCACCTGATTCCCACCAGCTCAAAGCAGTTTTCCTCGAAGTGTTTGGAGCAGAAGTAGATGTACTCAGAGGCCGGGTCCCACAGGCCCTGGCCGCTGGGGTCCAGCCGCTGACAGTTGGCCAGCCACAAGCCGCGCCTGGGGTTGTCTTTCTTGGGAAGTCTGCAGAGCCACAAAACCGTGAGCACCAGACTGCTGCAGCCCGCGATCAGGATGCCCAAGCTCCCCAGGCAAGAGGGGCAGACCTCCCCGCGACCCTTTCGGATTACCACCCGCTAGGAGTAAACTGAGGACGAGAGAAGGAAGGAACAGGGCCTGCTTAGCATCACCTAGCAGCAAAGAGTTAGAGCTCCAAGTCCAAGGCAAGAAAGCGCCCAGTCCTTTTCGGCTGGATTCGGGACTCCTCGACCGCCCTTCACCCTCCCGCTCACAAAGTTCAAGCCTCACTTCGACCTCAGGAAGGCGCTGTCTCCTGCGCGGCCTAAAGTGCAGCAACACCAGCGCCTGCGCATGTGAGCCCTCGCGTGCCACTACGCACGCGCGCTGACCTGTGGAAGGAGATGCCGCGGTTGCGAGTCTCGCGCGTATCCCGTGTGCAGCAGCCGGCGGCGGAGCAGTGTCGCGGCATCTGGGGAAGGGGTGGGAGCTGGGTCGTGGGCGGCAGCCGGGGGGAGGGGCCTGCCCCCACGCCCCGCCGCCACTCCCTCCAGAGGGCCTGAACCTGCCGGCTCCCCCGCGGCCCGACCTCGTCCCAATCCCGTCCTAACTCGTTCTATAGACTCCCGTCAGCGGTACTCACGGTCTTGCCATTGCTGCGCCGCCAAAGTCTCGCGATGGGTGGGTCAATGCGGAAGTTGGGAGCGTAGGGACTCCGTAGCGGGCTGCGACTGCCCTCAAGGGGCGGGACCGGAAGAGATCCTGGCGGGCCGGCCACCGGATGTTGGGAGTGCGGGCCGATCGTTGCCGCTGAGGTGCTTGAGATCCCCGGAGCGGCCGTGTCCTCGCTCCCTTGTTTTGTTTGTGTATCCAGGGTGACTACCGAGCGCTCGCCGTTAGGACTAAGCAGCCCCGGTGCGATCTGTAGTGCTCCCTGACACTCTGGTTGAAAGAAGATTCACCACCAAGAAAAATCTGGGCTCTTGCCTGAAAGAACCCCGCCAAGGGCCCTGGGTGACTCGGCACTTTCTGCCAACCCTGAGGATCCGAGTTTGATTTCCCTGCCCGCCATGGTTAGAAGGGAAGAACCAATGCCCACTAGTTGTCCTCTGACCCCCACATATCGCACGTGTGCATGCATGCGTATGCACAAGATAAAACGTAAAGACAAAAAAGAGTTCTTAAAGTAACGGAATTAACTGCGTCAGCAGAGGGACTGCAAACACGGCCAGGAGGGTCTGAGCCCACTGGGATTTTACCGCTGTCTCAGGAGAAACCTGGCACTCCCAGCTGGGCCAGGCAACAGGATCTCTTTCTAGCATCTACTTTGTGACATTAGCAGTCCTGGAGGGTCCATTTTAGATCAAGGTCTTTAAACCAGTGCTCAAAACTGAGTGCAATCTGGGGACATAAACATTTGCCAGCCGAGGAGGAAAGCTAATGTAGAAACCTAGGTTTCTACAGCTTGGGTGGAACCCCAGCTGCGTTCACACGCGGTGTGAGGGACTTCATTCTTCAATTTAAAACAATGTGTGTTGCCCCAATTGACTTATCTTGTTAGTAACTGAGCATATAGATATGCCTATTAATGTCTTAGAGAAAACAAATGTATTTGCTGCAGAGGAATTTAGTAGTTGGCCCTTCCAAGAAAGGCAGCTATCTAGACAGGGAACTTTGTTTTTTGTCTTGTTTTGTTTTTAAAGTACTGTATGAAGTAAAAGTAATGTTAACAGTAGGGGGGGAGATAAAGATATAACTGCCAGCCACATAGCTGCACTCAGTATTCCCCCCCCTCATTCTGCAGAATCCACAGCCATCTCTTAATAACCCTTCCCCGAGGCTGCCAGGTCCTCTGGACCTCAGAGAACACCCCTCCACACCTGCTGTCACATAGATGTGCGTAAAGGCCTCTCTGGCATGCATGAGGTTGAACTTGTGATTTAGGTGAGCCCAGGCCTCTTCAGTGGCAGTTGTTTTGCTGAGCATACACATGGCCTGCTGTTCCTTGGCCAGGTCTCCCCCAGGGACCATAAAGGGGGGCTGGTAGTTAATGCCTGCCTATCAGAAAAAAGGAAAATACAGTGGAGTTTATATTGGCCTTATAAATGACAGTTTGTTAAAAAGTTGAGAACTGTGGACCCACTTTGAACTGTAAAAGCTAGTATTATACTTTTGAAAATAACTAACATTTAACATTCTTTTAAAATTTCATGTTTCAGATTCACCCACACAGACACACACACAAAAAATTAAGGTTGTATGTGGGACAGGAGAGATGGCTCAGTGGTTAAGAGCACTGGCTGCTCTTCCAGAGGTCGAGATCCTGAGTTCAATTCCCAGCAACCACGTGGTGGCTCACAACCATCTGTAATGAGATCTGGTGCCCTCTTGGCCTACAGGCATATGTGCAGACAAAACACTATATATATAACAAATAAGTAAATCTTTTTTAAAAAAGGTTGTATGTGATTGAATCACTAATGTCAAAATAGAAATAGAGCCAGTGAAAGCATTACACACCCATACAGTCCAACATGTGAGAAGAGCAAGAACTCTATCCTAGCAAATAGATAAGGTATATTGTAAACATACAGAAAATGGAGTAGAAATGTACTTATGTGTAGAAAACACCTATTGTAATAGTAAACTCAGGCAAAGAATGTATTGGAACCCAAAGAGGGCAAACACTTGGGAATGTGCCCAGGTAGATACCTTTCCCTGGTGAGCTGCTAACAAGAGCTGGGAAGACAGCCAGGCTGGCACCCAAAAGAAGCAGGGAGAAAGGCACCAGGACTCCAGCTGGCCCTTCAGGGGCAACGCTGCCAGCTTTCTGTAGCCCTTGGATACACACATGCCCACGGTCCCTGTGCCCCCTTCTCTAGCCCTCCCACAAGACTCAGTAAAGCACAGCATGAAAAGACTTCATTCTTAAATTCAAAACAATGCATTTATCCTGATTCCCTTATTCAGTTAGAAGGAACAAGAATCTTTTCCACATGTTCATTGGCCCCACTGTCACCCAGAATTACCTGTATAACAAGAGATATGATACACTTTTGACTATGCACAGAACACTCCTTGCTCTCAAAGGGGAAAAACAAACAGCTATGGGAGAGAAGGGGACTTAGCTTCCTGGTCTTGCACACAGTTTTAATATTGTGCACATTTTTATGATTTAAAATACCTTATTTTTTTCTTTTTTGAAACAGGGTTATCTTTGTCCAGGCTAACATCAAACCTACTATGTATCCAAGGGTGACCTTGAACTCCTCCTGATCTACCTTCCCCGGGGTTACAGACACATGCCAACATGTCCAGCTACAAATGCAAATATTTTTAAACATGAAAACCAAGTCCACATTGAAACTGACAAAGAATGTAAGGAGAGACGGCTTAGTGGTTAAGGGTACTAGAGCTGCTTTTGCAGAGGACCTGGGTTCTGTTCCTTGCACCCATGTGGCAGTTCACAACCATCTGTAACTCCAGTTCCAGGGAATCCAACACCGTCTTCTGAACTCCAAGGGGCCAGGTGTGCACATGGTGCACAGACATTCCTGTAGGCCAATACACATATACATAAAATAAGCATTAAAATTTTTCAAAAACAAAAGAACTTGGTGCAAAGAGATTAGCAGGGTCCATTTGGTACTGAAAGACTGTTTCTTTGGGGGACAACATGAGCTGCAATTCATGTTTCCTCATAAGTGATATTTTTACATGCTCACAGGACCATACACACAGCTGAGAGGAAACCAACCCCTGCCAGGTACCAAGGTCTAGCATTTTTCCACAGCACTTGCCTTCAAGAGGCTGCCTTGAAGTCTTCACCTTCCTAGTGTCTCACTGAGAAAATCCATCTGCTCAAATGCATAGGCTAGGTAATTGTAGAACAGAAGGTCTCAAATGCAAGTGCTTCATGCCTCTGCCCCAAATTCTGGGATTCTGTGTGTAGACTACCATACCCAACTCCTACCGACAACCTCTTTTTTTTTGTTTTTCGAGGCAGGGTTTCTTTGTAGCTTTTGGAGCCTGTCCTGGAACTTTCTCTGTAGACCAGGCTAGCCTCAAACTCAGGGACATCCACCTGCCTCTGCCTCCCAAGTGTTGGGATTAAAGGCGTGTGCCACCGCCGCCCAGCTGCCTACAACCTCTTTAGGTGTGTAATTTTCATATGTAGAAACTTATTATATTCATTTGAGTGAGATCTGCTTGTTTTATATTTTCCTGTTAGTTAAACTGTTAAAAGTATGTCTTCCACCTGGCAGTGGTAATGCATGCCTTTAGTCATAGCACTTGGGAGACAGAGGCAGGTGTGTATCTCTGAGTTCAAGGCCAGCCTGGTCTACAGAGTGAGTTCCAGCATAACCAGGGCTACACAGAAAAACCCTGTCTCAAAAAAACCAAAAAAAGAAAAAGAGGGCTAAGAGATGGCTTAGAGGTTAAGAGCACTGACTGCTCTTCCAGAGGTTCTGAGTTCAATTCCCAGCAACCACATGGTGGCTCACAACCATCTGTTATGAGATCTTGTGCCCTCTTCTGGTGTGCAGATATACATGGAAGCAGAATGATGTATACATAATAAATAAAATTAAAAAAAAAGAAAAAAAAGGAAACGATAAAGCTCTCTGATGAACAGTAGCATATTTGGGAAATGAAATCAGAGCTAACCTTACAGCATTCATGAACTGTTTCCCCATCATTTGCTTCTGCGTGCCTGGGACTGTCTCCAACTCAGAACTCTGAAGTATCAAGCACTGATCATACACCCCATGAACTTGAGGGTGTTTACAAGGAAAGAGTACAGGTATATTCAGAAAAGTTCAAGTTGCTTAGCAAAGTCATTAACACGCTTTCCTATGGCATGATGTAAAAGCTGGTGTTCTTCCTCAAGGCCTAGGCAGCTGTTTGCTGACAGGTACAATGATGCCACAACATCCGGTCTTACCTTAAATCTAAATGGGCACCATTTCACAATCTGGATATACATTTGGCCTTGATAGTGACAATGTCTGTGACCACGTCTCCTCTGTACAACGTGCAGCAGGCCACATACTTATCTTTGTTAGGGTCATATTTGACCATCTGATTAGCTGGCTCAAAGTGGGAATTGGTGGTCTTGGCCACTGAGAGCTGCTTATGGTAAGCCTACTTGACTGAGATAACTTCGATATAGGTGGCCAGTGTAAAGTACATACAGGGATATGGCACCAGGTTCATCTGCAATTCTGTTAACCCCACTGTTGTGGGATAATCCTTCTGTATGCTGTGAATATCTGTTCCTCTCATTGGTTAAGAAAAAAGTTGTTTGGTCTATAGCATGGCAGGATAAAGTTAGGTGGGACAATCAAACTGAGGACAGGCATAAAGAAGGGTTGAGTCAAGAGAGCTGCCAGTGGGCCACACAAGAAACAAGATGCACAGGTAAAGCCACAAGCCATGTGGCAATACATAGATTAATAGAAATGGGTTAATTTAAATGTAAAAAGCTAGTTAGTAATAAGCCTGAGCTATTGTCTGAACATTTTCTGATTAATATAAATTTTTGTATGTTTATTTGGGACAGGCAGTCAGGACAGAAAAGCTCTGTCTCTGTTTATATTCCACATTTAGGGTTCCATCTTAACTAGGATTCCCTAGTCCACTGAGAGCCTTTCTATGAACACAGATTTGAACCCAGAGCCAGTGCTGTCCCCAAAGCTGTGGAAGGTCAGGAAGCCCTTAGGGCCTGTGAACAGATCTGTCTATAAGAAACCAGCATATGTGCCAATGCCTGTGAAGACCTACTTTCAACTTCTAAGCCTCAAACCCATGTCTCTGCCTCTTCAAGCTAATGGCAACTCAGGTTGTCCAGTGAACACTTTGCACTTAGAAGCAACATGGACTGTAAAAATACATTGATACTTCACAACAGACACTACAAGTAAAACTTTTGTGAACTCAGTCTGGTTTAAGGTTTGCTGAAGTAACCTACCCCCTTCATAAAGCTGACCTTCCTGGTCACATGAAACCACCACTGTGCTTCTCTTACCAGTTTGTTGATCTGGTCCAAAACCAAGATCTTAACAATCTCCTTGCCAATGGTATAATGGCCCCCGGCATACTCATTGGCACATCTTCCTTCCAGTGATCAGTAGAATGACTCTGTGTGTACTTATCTGTAGAGATACAGATATGTGCTCTGAGCCTTCCAGGTCTACTATAGCCACCAACATGGACATACTCAAGGCCTGTTCAAGTCTACAAAGTATGTACTGTACCATAGGTCAAACTGTCTCTTAGAAAATGTCTCTGAGGAGGTTTGAATGAGAATGGCCCCATAGGGTCATATATTTGAATGCTTGCTCCCTAGTTGATGGAACTATTTGAGAAGGATTAAGACGTGACCATGTTGGAAGGTGTGTGTCTTTGGAGATGGGCTTAGAGGCTTCAAAATCCCATGCCATTCCAGTTAACTTGTGGCACCCCTGCTACCCTGCTTTCTGCTTGTGGATCGGGATGTAAGCTCTCAGCTACTGCCTGCCTGATACTGTACTTCTGCCATGATAGCTCTAGCCCATTGGAACTGTGAGCCCCAAAATTAAATCCTTTCTTTTATAAGTTGTCTCGGTCATGGTGTCTCTTCACACCAATAGAAAAGTTCCTAAGACAGAAGTTGGTACCAGGAAGTAGGATATTGCTATGACAGGTCTGACCATGCTGGCTTTTGGAGAGAAGCAGAAGTCTTTGAACTGCAAAAGTGGTTCAACTGTAGCAGGGCTTAATGGGCTATCCTAGCAGGATCTTGGAAGACAGTGGTGCTAAGAACAATGTGGTCTATGGAGGCTCAGCTCAAGAGGTTTCATATGTGAACAATATGGCTAGAGACCATTCTTGTGATATTTTGGCAAAGAATGTGGCTGCCTTTTGCCTTTGTCCCAAGAATCTGCTTGAGGCTAATGTGAAGCATTTTGGAGAAATTTTGTTGGCAGAGGAGATTTCAAAACAGACTAATATTGACTCTGTTGTGTGGTTATTAGTGACCACTCTTATATAAATACACAATAAAAAGAAATTCAAAATGTAGTTTGAGGAGAAAAGGAGCATCAGGGAATGTAATGTTGGAGTCATGGCTTGTGCTGAAAGAGAAAAGGAGAGGCCTGGTCACAACTAGAGTAAAAGAAGGGATGCAAGAAGGGTGCGACTCCACCCAACTAAGCTTCCAATTTGTAAAAAGAAAAGATCTAGGCCAGGCATTGGTGGCACATGCCTTTAATCCCAGCACTCGGGAGGCAGAGGCAGGTGTATCTCTGTGAGTTCGAGGCCAGCCTGGTCTCCAGAGTGAGTGCCAGGATAGGCTCCAAAGCTACACAGAGAAACCCTGTCTCGAAAAACCAAAAAGGTCTAAGGACTCAACTGTTCCTAAAAAGAAACATATCAAAGCTCATGCAATTTCTCTGCATTGCTGGACGTTGGTGGCACACGCCTTTTTTCCCAGTATGCGGGAGGCGGAGGCAGGCAGATCTCTGTGAGTTCAAGGCCAGCCTGGTCTACAGAGCAAGTTTCAGGACAGCCTCCAAACCAACACAGAGAAACCCTGTCTCGAAAAAACAAACAAACAAAAACAAAACAAAACAACAACAAAAAAGCTCATGCAAATGTAATTCAAGGAGGGGGCCAGGCTCCATCCCATGGGAGTCGCTGAACTTGGCAGCTTCTGCCACATGAAGCAGGCTTTAGTCTTGAGAGTACGGGAGTGAAAAGGTTGTGGAGTCTTCCTCTGAAGTTAAAGCTGCCAAGGCCATGCGTGTGGCATGGGAATCCCCACATGGAGGCCCTGAGAGACCATGTGTGTAACTGTGAAAGTGAAGGCTGGATTGTGTAGGAGCCCCCAGAATATTGGAGATACCAGGTCTATGGAGTATATGCTAAGGAGAGCTGCAGTCAGTCAGGGAGTGGAACCAGCCCATGGGAGATAAATGTGTTGCAGGCAGCAAAGCTGGAAGGAAAGGGATATATAAGCCCTCTGGCTTCAGACAAGGACCTACAGAATTTGGAGTTTTCCTTGCTGGTTTTTAGTCTTGCTTTGGTCTAGTATTTCCTCACTTTGCCTTCTTTCCTCCCTTTTGGAATGATAATGTATATTCTGTGCCATTGTATGTTAGAAGTATGTAATTTGTTTTGGTTTTGATTTTACAGGAGTTACAATTAAGGGATTATCTTGAGTCTCAGAAGAGACTTGGACTTTTAAATTGTGTGGAGTCTGTGAAATACTATGGGCACTTTTGCCTTTTATATGGCCATAAGCCTATGGGGGTCCAGGGAGCAGAGGTGATGGTTTTTGCCAGTGGACATGTCAGAGGAGGTACAGACAGCAATGGAACTTACGCAATACAGCTTAGAGGATAACAAAGCTACTCTGTGTGTATCCTGGAGAGGCAAAGCCCCAGGAGGATTGTCTGGAATGCCTCTTGCTTTTGCTGTGCTTCCTTCTGTTTGCTGCTGTACTCTTCCTACTCCATTTGGCATGGTGTGGTTGTTATGATAAAATGAGAGCGGGACCTTATCGAATTCCATGGCAGGCGAGGGTGACCAAGGAGGATGGACAAACATGCCAGGCAGACAGAGCTTAAGTGAGAAGTTTTATTAGAAAGGGAAGCGAGGGGAAGAGGAAAGAGAAAAGAAGTAAAGAGACACAGAGACAGAGGACAGAAGAGAAGAGGGAGACAGGAAAGAAAGCATAAGTGATCAGGGTCTTTCTTTTAAAGGGGTCCTTTGCACCTGTGTGCAGACTAGTACTCATGGAACTGACCAGAGTATTGCCTGAGTCCATTCTGCCAGGTGATAGGGGCAGGCCAGCATAATGCCTGAATCCTTACAGGGATTACTGTATGAAGGGATCCCACTGTATCTAGTATAGTGTGGTTGTTTCTTAGGAAAATCCCACTCCTTGCTGGGCAGTTTACTTGCAGCTCACAATGAAGATGGTTTTAATAAGAGCAATGATGATTGGTTAGGTGTATGGTTTAATTGAACTTTCTGAGTTAGCCTGAGGTACAGGTGGTTAGGACAGTTAGTAAAGATGATTAGGGAAAGGGTTTAGGTTATTCTGCCAATTGCTCTAAGAGATACAAAAAAAGGCAAATACAGACTAGAGGTTATCTGCCTCTTTGTTAGATGTGAGATTTTCAGAGGATGGAAAATAAAAACAAGGAAGTTTCATGCATTGTAGACCCATGAATTCTGCCTGTGGAAAAACAGGCTGATGAAAGCAATTGTGTCCCTACCTCCAAGGTTAGGCCTAAATTCCTTAGGTATGTAGCTTACAGAATTAGTCACAGATACCCCCCGAGTATGCACCTTAAAAAAACAGTTGTGAGAGGAAATTAAAATACCCTATTTGTTATGGTAGAGGTTCCACCCAAACCCCCTCCCCCCATCTCCAAACCCTGCTGCTTCTCAGAAAGTCTGCCAAATGATGGCCCCTCCCCCAGAGATACTCAAGACCACTCCCACAGGATATTTAAACTGCCCACCAGAAATAGACTCGTGGTTTTTCCTGTCTCTCTTTCCCATCTCCTCTCTGGGGGACTGCATCCATTAAACGTGGGCTTTTTCTAATTTGGTTTGATTTGATCTGATTTGGATTACTGCATTGGCAGAGAGGCTTATCTGGGTGTAGAAACTTTTAACCATTGTTTGTAAAAGAAAATAGATGGTGAACTGACAACTTGTTTAAAGTTTCTCTAGAGTAGAATTAAGAATATCAATCTTCGGGGTGGAGAGATGGCTCAGAGGTTAAGAGCACTGACTGCTCTTCCAGAGGTCCTGAGTTCAATTCCCAGCAACCACATGGTGGCTCACAACTATCTATGAGATCTGGTGCCCTCTTCCAGCCCGCAGGCATACATGCAGGCAGAACATTGTATACATAATAAATAAAATCTTAAAAAAAAAAAAGAGTGCCAATCATCTTTAAACCCAGCACTTGGGAAGCAGAGGCAGGTGGATCGAGGTGAGTTCGAGGCCAGCCTGGTCTACAGAGTGTGCCAATCATCTTTAAACCCAGCACTTGGGAAGCAGAGGCAGGTGGATCGAGGTGAGTTCGAGGCCAGCCTGGTCTACAGAGTGAGTGCCAGGATAGGCTCCAAAACTACACAGAAAAACCCTGTCTTGAAAAACAAAACAAAATGAATGCCAATCTTGGTTTGGAGAGGTGGCTCAGCAGTTAAGAGCACTGACTGCTCTTTCAGAGGTCCTGAGTTCAATTCCCAGCTCTCACATGGTGGCTCAAAACCATCTGTAATGAG